GTTCATTTGTCTCCGTCCAGAACATGCATGGGATGTTTGTCACTGGACGGTAATCAACCAACATTCAAACAATATACAATTGCAAGGAACATGTGCTTTAGTTCAGAATAAAGGAGTATGACTAGGCAAGTCTTATTTTTCTGATATTCATATGCTTTAGACAATATTAAAAGCTTCAAATATGTATTATGGTATTGCAGTTTTTAACCGAAAACATGCAGTCAAAATGCACATGTAAGGGCCTTTTCCTTGTGGGAAATGTTGGTCACACCCTCCGACCAAAATACATTGGCAATAGAAAAATTTGCTTAAGTGTGATATTCATTCTAATAAAAAAAAATTACATTGGATACACGGTCAATGATATCTGAAACAAAAGAAAAAGTTCAAATAGACAAAATTTAGTCAAAACTATTTTTATTATCATAAATGTGTGCATTAATGATATCATGATATTAAAACCATAACTAACAGAATTTGTTTAAGGTTGTTGAGTCTGTATTTGCGGTATACATTAACATATATTTTCATCTTATGTTTATAATAATTACTGAATTTAAATTCATGTCAAATTGACTCTTCTTGAAACTACTCCATTACATGTAAAACGGTGTACATGAATTTATAATAGATTTCCAAGTGTTTGCAGCAAACTGAACATGTATTCGTGTGAAGGATTTCAACATTTATTTAAACGCAAAACCAAAAATTAGAATTAGTTAAATATCTTGCTTATTCATTTTTCGTTCTTTCACTAAAATGACACATTTTAATCACATTGTCAAGACATGCATGCATATGTAAATAACTACATTGCATGTATGTTTCATAAGAATCCGTACTTTTGATTGGGTGACAACACTATAATTCGCGAGGCATTCCAGAATAAGATTTTATTTCCCATAAAATTCAACATTCATGACAGCACGTGCTTCCCATGACAACGTCAAAATAATACACAGGAAAACATGAAATATTTGATATAACTCGTAATTTCATGTTTGTAGCATAAAAATGTAATTGTAAGAATTGAATGCTTCTTTTTGTAATTTCATAGGGTTGTAAAAGCGTTGATCGACGCAAATTTTTAATTGGAAGCGCTTCATAAAAAATGTGCTCCGGTTAACGCTTTACACCCCAATAAAATTACAAAAAAAATCATTCAATCCTTAATTAAAAGTTTAATTGAAACAAGTTATGAGTAGTGAATACTAATAGAGTACCCTTTAATTACGTACCCGTGTTAGCCACGCCCGATCAGGCGAAAGTAACAAGTAAGTAATATAATATTCAAATGTCTGCAAAGGTAATTAAACATTATAAAGAAAATAATTTTATTTTTTTCGTCTCAACTAACCTTTTATTACTGATTTATCGCTTTATGATTTAATAATCATTATTATATATTGTTTTGAGACAATCTAATATAATAACAATGACATAATTACATTAAAAAATTAAATTACTAAATTTCAATACATGTGTTTTTATTTTATATGTTTGTACTCCTCACGAATGAGGGATTTTTATCCCCCCCAAAAAGATATTTAGACCTTTATAATGAGATTCGGAGCGAACCTACAAAATGAATTTGAACGACTTATCACTTGCATGGGATTTTAGTAGTTATTCAGCTTGTAGCGGAACAGGCTTTAGAACTTAAGAATTAGTGGAAGGGGGTGTCATTAAATAGCAATTGATTTAAGGCAAATAATGGTATTTTCAATCTGTGTGAGTTTTAACTAGCTAGCTCTTCTCGTATGGTTCAGAGCATGGAACCATTTTACGGTTTTTTCGTAGAAAAGTTCACAGCATCCTTTTTGTAGAAATAAGCACAAAATTTTAGAACCCAGACTGTCGTGTTATCTTCGTAACATAGATTAGTCAGGGGCGGATCCAGGAATTTGGAAAGGGGGGGCGAAGTATGTAAAAAAATTTTTGGACCTTTTTTTGGCTAAAAAACATAAAATAAGTGTAAAATGCACTTTTTTAACGGTTCCTGACGTAAGGCATGTATATTTAATAGTTAAGTGTAAGGGTTGGACATTTTTTATGCCGTATTCTCCCCATTAATTGTCTATTATAAAATGATTGGATGGATCCAAAGCTATGTACTAATATATTTGATGTGGGACTTGTCAGTAAAAAATTGACATGGAAAATTCTCGTTTGTTGTATCTTTAGTTAGCATAGCGTCACGAATTTCTTGTTGTAAACAAGATATACGCCGGGCTATTCAATGAAATTTGCAATACGACCGACACGAGTTAAGAAAGACAAACAAGCAATTTTTATCCAAATGTTTGGTTGAAATTTTTCACCCAACAAGGGAAGTGAGGGGTTTCAAATCAACCAAAGGCTACGAATGAGTCTGAAATGACAACGAATATATGAATGACGGTCGACGAATGGAGACATAAAGGCCATACCCAGCAGGCAGGTTGCAGTCGGGCCTTGAAAAAGTTTCGACGAAACAGACATTCCGGTCAGATATGGGATTTACATGCAAACCCCTGGCCCCAAAAAAATTACGCCCGTTTTTTTATTCATCATGTTCATTTAATGCTAAATAATTCTGTTGGAAATTTTTGTTTCTAATAGCAAAAAAGGGGACAAGATTATTGTTTACAATCCAGATACGGCCAGAATATTTGATTAAGGCAAAAATGAGGGTCAGAATTTTTCTCTCAAACATCTCAGACTGCCCCCTCAAATCAAATGGTCCGTACCTTAGATTTTAAATCTATCTAGAGCTTATTGACTGGGGGTCATTGTTCAGCTATGTTATTAATAGGCTGGGGCGTGTTGGGTTAAACATGTTTTCGTAGGTAAATAATATTGCTGTGGAACTTTTTTTCATGAAAGTGTAATAGAGTATTACTTTCTGTTCGGTGGAATTGTGAAATAGAAGTCAATAAATACGTTCTTGCTCAATCCTTTGTCGCTTTGAAGGTGTCATAGATATAGGAAGATGTGGTATGAGTGCCAATGAGACAACTCTCCATCCAAGTAACAATTCATAAAGGTAAACCATTATATGTCAAAGTACGACCTTCAACACTTCAGCATTCTTGTCATCCTCAGCCTAAGCAATGTGTTACTTAATTTGAATTTCAAAATGACTGAGTGACGTTTTTTCGACGCACTGGTCAACTCCACCGTAGCGAATCACATGATTTTGACATAGTCAATAATATATTACAGTAAATACGAGCGAAACATATCTGTATAGGTAAAGAATTGCCGCATAAAAATTAAATACGCGGACAATGGCAAAGTTCACGAAGTCTAGTCTGATTAATCATTTTACCAAAAAACAAAAAAAAAAATTGCAAGCAAAGGGGGGGCGTACGCCCTCTACGCCCCCCTCTGGATCCGCCACTGTTAGTATGGCGAATATGCATTGGATAAATGAACATGTTCACATATTTCCGGCTACTATCGATTGTGAACAATATGTAGAGATATATCAGTATTTAATATTTTTGAACACACGATGTCAACTTCCGTCTTATCTTGTAATTTTCATTTGAAGTAAAAGTAGTTCAAACAGGTCAATCAAAATACTGCATGTGATGTCCTTTGTTAGAAAGATGCTGAAAGTGGAACTTATAATGTACGTATTGATAGAAGAAAAATTCCGCAAAGGTAAAATTTATATCAAAAGAAAATCTTTTAATTTCTTTTAATTAATTTTCTAATTTTCTAAATGTATAGGAATGTTATAAACAGATAAATATTTTTTTTTAAATATAACATCATACTGACTACAACCAATATTTTGTTTCAATGAATAAATCAAGGACTGAATCAAAATCATCCAGAGGTTAGAGTTGATGTATGCTTGAAAAGATATTGGGGTATATACGTCAATGAAAAAAAGACAAAATAATCGGAGAAATCTAGAGGGCAGCATGCAATCAACAGTAGATAATCAGTCCGAGTCTACAAAAGTGGTAAAAAAAATTAACAGAAGCAATTAAAGATCTGCTACCAACACCTAATTCTCCAAATAGCAAAAAAGATTCATATATGACACACGGCAACTACTGACGAAGTCCTTGGATTCGGAACGGAAAATAAATACGGCACAGTTTTGATTTTTCATACTCAATACTATTGAGTGTTTCTTGTGAAAGATATGTAATTAAGAAACGGTATTTTTTTTTTATTGGCAACTATGGCTAAACGATAAAAAAAATATGAAATTACAAATGAGTATAAATTTTGCTCTGATTTAAGTTTTTTTTGTTTGTTTGTTTGTTTTGTTTGTTGATGTAGTAAATCGGATGGTTTCTGCAGTGCTATTTGCAAAACCATATACATATTAACGATATGTCATGCATACTCTGATTTATAAATGTTGGAGTTTTGTTTTTTCCGAGTACGCAGAAAGCTGCGTGTTTTACGTTAGTCGCCGTTGTATCGTCACCAAAATCACCTTCGGATGTGGTAGAGTCCTCAGAGTCTTTTTCCCTACACATGTTTAAATCCCGCTGCTCTCATTATATAATTTTTATCACTCGGTATCAAAATTTAAATTTATACTTTTAATTATATTTCAGATTTGAAATGTTCATATATATAATAATTAATGAACGCAATAACGTTTAAAATTATGTTTGAAATCATATATCCTTTATATTCAAAGCAAATGTATTTTAAAACATGATTTCATTTAGGTAAGTTGAAGTTTTTCAATATTGCAAAAGAAAAGAGTATATTTAATTATTTATTATGGGTACATTAAGGACTAAATGCATTCGAATAGAATATAATACAAGAATCTCTCTTGATATACACTTTTATGAAATATTTCACTCATTCCCTTCAAAATATCATACTGACATTGATGTATGAAATACAAAACAAATATACTTCGTGTTAAGCAGACAAAGATATAAAATATTTAAATGGTTTGATACAATCATTCACCTCGTTTAGCCTCGTAAGGAACCCAATACACTAAGTAATTATACCGTTAATCTGATAGGAATTATTTAAAATTTAAATAAGACAGATTTTTATACACTTGTTATATTAAAAGATATATCGCATTGGAAGGTAATACCTAATGTTACAATGGAAAATTTATTAAGATTGGATACATTTCCGTATGTTATGTCAAAGTAAATTGGAAATTGCACATTAGTTTAAAAATATAAGGTATGTTTATTTGTATTTAAAAGGTATTTGTTTACAATAAGATTTCATGTTGAATTGTTTAGTCTGAAAGTTCGTATTGAACTCGTGTAATCTTGACAACAAAAAGATGTTGTTTCCGCATATGACCTTTAGTAATTTAAATAAACTAATAATATGATGTAGGATTGCATATAGACAAAATCTGTACATTATTCTATTTATAAAAATTCAATGTGCTCTGATTGTTAATGAGACAACTATCCATCAGAGACCAAATGATACAGATTTTTAGGGGCCAGCTGAAGCCCGTCTCCGGGTGCGGGATTTTCTCGCTGTGTTGAAGACCCATTGTGGGCCTTCGGCTGTTTTTTGTTCTTTGGTCGGGTTGTTGTCTCTTTGACACATTCCCCATTTCCATTCTCAATTTTAGATGTAAGCATATAGTTCTTTTTAATATATTAACGTAAATTAAGTTTAAATGACAAAGAAGCGTGTATTTTACTGTTATTTTTAATTATTTAGTCTTCAGTCTCAGTCTCACCTACAACCCCAACCACAAGGGTTGACTGGGGTATAGAAATACGGTCATGATGACATTTACGAACTTTTATTACTCGGCCGAGACTAAACCCCATGTTAAAGAGGGGGCAAACATATGGCTATTCGGGATGTATAAATACGCAGCCACGTCCTGTCAGAACAATTTGGGACGTTAAATGCATACCTCGTGGAACGCGCTTTATTATGTGCTTTAAAGAACCCATGCACAAACTATTTGAGGATTCTATAGGTATTTTGTTGCCAGGCTAAATTGCTGTCCCTACCCATGATATCCTCATTTCCACTGGTACTAACTACACTTCTCGCCCTTATCTCAGTTGTCCCAACCGTAAGAACTTACTTATGTGATTTTAACTTTAATTTATAATCGTCCTGCATATGCATGAAATATTTGCCACTGGACGTTAAGCAATCAACAAATAATACCTCAGTCGCCTTGTTAATACATATGACCACTTGAATTTTTTTTAATTTGATAACGTAAGTCCTTTAAAAAAATTCCGACAGACAGGTATTTTGAACAGAATTAAGTAGAACAATGCCTATGAGCTGATGATATGTTAAAAAGGGGGATAATCTAAGAAACGCTCACATTCCCAATGACAAAAAACCAAGAAGATAAACGGAATCCCACAAGGCACTTCGCATACATGTTAGAATTGAACACACGAACCGCACAATTTAACTATTGACCGAAAAACTGCCATAAACCTTTGGTTAACCTTAGTAAATTTTATATACAAAAGTAAACAACAAAAAATCGTAAAACTGCCATACAACAATTTAATCCAGTAATAATGTCAACATTAGTGTCATTTACAGATCAATAAAAAGTTTATTCGGATGCGTTTTTCATTTTTTTATGTTTTTTAAAATGATATTTTTATAGCGAATTATTTTTCATCTAAGGGGCAAATATTTTGCAGAAGGAAAGTATATAAGCGGCGTAAATATTACCCATTGGAAGCTATCATCGCTTTTGAAAGTGAACGTTAAATAGAAAATGCTGCTGAGTTTATTTTGATTGGTATATTTAAGAAAGCAATTATTTTTCAGCTAAAATGTGTTATTTAAAACGAAAGGTACAAAGAGGAAATCAAGCATAGTTTTAAATTAAAGAAGTATGACCAGTTAGGTTTTATAATGAGTATAAAAATTAGGAGATGTGGTATGATTGCCAATGAGACAGCTATCCACAAAAGTTCAAATGAAGTGGATGTAAGCATTATAGGCAACCGTACGGCCTCCAACAATGAGAAAAACCCAAACCGTTTAATCGGCTATAATGAGGTTTGTTTAAAGAAATGATTCTTCTACTTCGAAACTTTTTAGATTTAAAATAAGCATACTATTTTTAAACCACTGCATCAGTAGTATCATCAGCTATACTTATCTATTACAAATAGTTTTGAAAACTTGTTTGACCAATTCTAAACAACAGTACTAAATTTTGCAAATTAAAAGACAGTGAAATTTTGAAAAAGAACCAACATTGTATTCCCATGATACCGCATAAGCTTTCATTTGCATTGACAAAATATCAAAGAACCTGCTGTAATCGTAAAAGAAATTTAAATTATTCCAAGAAGACCTTAGTTCACACTGATTTTAGCACTAAATGCCTGACACTTTGCAAAAAGATAAATTGAACCTTATGAAAAGGCATGGAATTAAAAACGGTTCCACAAAGATTATTCTTTACAACTTGGTCTCTTTAATATAATATTAGAGATTCTTGCTTTTAATACTGTAGACTTTTCTTCCTTAAATATCAGAAGTTAGGAATAAAATAACTTACAGGATCAAACAGCTGAAATAGGCGGTTAACTTTTAAGTTGCATTATCAAATTACTAAAAATCAACTAATTAATTGTCTATATTGTCTTTACAAACTTGCAGTTCACGATGAAAACATGAATTAACACACGTATTAAAATTTTACTTTTACAAATCATTATTAATATCTGATATGATTAAAAGTACACATTTTTAAGAAGGCAAATTTAGACTTCTTAATTCCAATTAACGAATCCCAAAATGGTGACTGGATCTGAATATTTTGTAAGGAATATTGCTATTTTGTGTAATTTTCGTTTATGAAATTCATTGATTGTTGATTGCTTAACGTCCAACGACAATTATGTCATGCATATTCAGGACGATCGTTTATCAAAAGATTTTTCAAATGTCTCAAATCCAAGGCGCATTCGTCAGTTGTTTTTAACCTAAAAAAGAGTAATAGAAATGCATAAAATTTCAAACCTACGGATGGCAAAAAATAACTATATTGTACCCAAGACAACGATAGATGTAAAAAGACGACAAAACTATATCTACTGCATTTCCAACTTTATCTGTTTTCATTGCATTAAGTTCTATAATGCGAGCTTTTCTGTTTAAACTTTGGTACCTTGTCATGGAAAAAAAGATACGTGAATTTGTAGTAAAAGGTTTTTCTTGATTGTCGAAATGTTTTTAAAACAATGCAAATAGAATTTAAAGAACATAATGTGGATGTTAGTTCCCGAAAGGAGAAGGTCCGATAAGGGCTTATTTTGGCCTAAAATTTGAAGTACATCTGATGAAAGATTTTTACATTTTTTTAAAACTTAAGTGTCTTCTGCAGTCTATTCAATTAGTTTATGTAAAAGACTGATTTGGTCATTAAGGACGCCTAAATTCAAGCTTAAGTATAAAAAAATCTATCAAATATGCCACAAAACGTCACTTTTCATATTGTTTTTGTCTAAAATGGAAGTGGCCGCATTCGTGTTCAGTCTCAACCTTTATATATGTTATGTATCAAATACAACATATTTAAATACTAAGACTGAAATCAAGTGCGGCCACTTCCATTTTAGACAAAAACCGTCTAAAAATTAGCACAAAGGCTGAAATTGTGAAGATTTGAGTAATTTTGCATGAACTTATGATGCTACTACCTGATGAATGTGCAGTGTAATGTCAAAAACAGTCCATATTTATGTAATAAAAGTATTCTACTTTCCTATAAATAGATAAAGTTTACATTTTTAATAAATTTTTTATATGCTATATTTTGGGGCCAAAGAGGGGGTCTTACCGGGCCTACTCCTTTCCATCTTGAGGCAAAAGCATTTTCGGACCAATTTGTTTAAAAGTTTATGTGATTGCAATCCTTTTCGGACAAATCGTGGAAGATTGCTCCATACTTTACACCTCTACTTGATCCAGAAATCAAATTGTGTCTGGATCGATTTCACACGTGAAACTCTTCGTCCGTATTTGCATTCTTCTATGAATGAAACACGTGCTGACGATTGTTCCTATTATTATATGGAACAATAATGCATAAAGGTGAAAATTAAAATGGAGTATCAATCATATGGCCCGAGAACACAGTTATTTCGTAGCCGTGCATTTCTTTTAGACAAAAACGCAAATTAACAAAATCGCACCTGCTCTATCCAAAAAAGATTTTTGCAGTGTAGTGTACTAATTTTGGGACAAGTTATATCAAAATTATAGAAAAGTCTATCGGCTCTAACTCAAAATATGGATAATTTTATGTTACGGCGATCTGTAATTCAGTTTGACAGCTTCAGACATACTAATTTTTGGCCTTTTCAAACTGGGCCAAATCACTACCTTACCTAAATTTCATGCCCCAATTTTTTTTTACATGTAATTTAACCCCCTTCTTACTATTTTTACATGAAATATAAAGAAATACATTTGGAAGGTATATGAAAAAAAGTTATACACTGTCCACACTAGGGACTCTATAGACAACGAAAATCAAAGGACAATAACTGTGTCCCCGGACCAAATATGTAAATCTTTGAAAGTAATAAACACACTTTTCTCCCTTGTTTACTATAATTAATCTAATGATGTGTGTGGTGCTTTTAGATGTATGTAAGCAATCTATATTTTTGAAAATAATTCAGAATGTTTCTGACATATCAATCTGTCTTAAGATGTAAAGAAAAGAAGAAAATTGTGAAATTTATAATCCCACTTCTGTAATTTTTTTATCACACCCAAACGAAGAAAATCAAAGTTGATTTAGACGTTGAACAGACGATAACAGAGGAAGAATGCAGAAAGATTACAATGTATGATTCCCGCCAAATGCTGAACATATTAAATTACCCCCTTCCTCTTGGATTGTACATGCAAATACTCGGTATATCGTTCAATTTTGCTGAATATGAACTTATTTGCTAACAGATCATTATGTTCTAAAATTACCACTTTGAGCTAAAACACATTAACATGCATTTCCTTGATAATCTTTATATTGTTCATGTATAATCATTTCCTATCGATAATTCACCAGAGTTCGTTTTCTCCAATATACACCCTTCTAACTTTATAATTACATCAAACAATTGTAGGACATGCTCAAAATTAATTCTGATAATTATAAACATATTGCATGTTTTAAGTAGCTGTAACGTTAAATTTCGGTTCAATCGAATCTTTAGAATCAGCTAATTGAAATTTAATCTCAAATGTTCAAACGAATCAGGATTTGAGCTCAATTAAGAACATTTTAAATTAATATGACATTATTATATGGGATATAATATCCTAATAACTCCTTTCCTGAGTTAATTATACTCTTTGAACGAAGATTCTATTCAATTTGAATTTCATGCGAATAAATATATGAAGAAAATTTAGTGACGTGGAATTCCTCTTTAATTTTGTTTAGCAATGTTGTAAAGCTAGGAAATTGCAGGGTTTGGTTTTCCAATAAAACATTATAGAATAGGAATGCGAAAAACTTAGGTCTGGTTAATAGACCAAATTACGCGAATCAAATATTAAGAATTCATAAATATTAGTGTGGATCATTTCTTGAACAAATTGGTTTGACGGACAGAGTTTCGTCATTGCTACCTTTTCTTGATATCTTTTATTGTATTCACAATTCGGTCTTAAGCTTTCAAAATTTCAGTAACTAGTCGAATCTTCTGACATATTTATTATACTTGTACTGTTGAGAGGTGTTAAGCAAATGCATGAATGCATAAATATGTCAATGCACGGGACACTTCTTTAAGTAATGGATGTTTAACATCCATGACAAATGGTACATGCATATAAAGGATGGATGATAACATGTTAATCGCATTTGGGTATTTTTTTCTATGTACTTGACTAACATGATGAGCCGAAGTCATATTTGCTATCTCTCAAAATTTGCACGAACATTTGTCATCCTACCCGGACGCAACAGTTTTACTCAATGCCGACGATTCTTTGCAGGCTAAATTGAGAGCCATGCCACTCCATTGAACTGCTTGACACGTGTTACCCCATAGACACATGACTTCGTAGGAAGCTGTGTGACCTTTTTAAACAGTGTATGTTAGAAGTTGTGGTACATCAAAACGCAATCTATCATATTTTTGTTTTTGTTTTGCTTGTTTGTTTTTTTGCTTTTTCCTCATTTTATTTCAAATTATTCTTGTGCTTTTGGTGCTGAACTTTAGCTGCAAATGTTTTTCGCTTAAACGTTTTGACAAGACCGATGCTGGTTAAACGTATTGACAAGACTTGTACTTATTAAACACAGTGACAAGGCTGATACCGTTTAAACGTATATCTGTCCTCTTTCTCTAATGGATCCTAAATATAGTCGTAGATCTAGTCGTTCGAAAGGATGGTAATTGTGTTGAACTGCCATACACTTTCTGTTCATTTTTTATATAAATATATAATATTTTTGTCTTTAAAATATATAACTATTTACGAAAATTGTCACTTGCACGTCGGCCTGCTTTTAGATATAAGGATTGTGGGGGGGGGGGGGGGGAGAAGGGAAAAAAATATCACTTTGATTCTAGATCTCTTGATACTTTGCAGTAAACTTTGTCTCTGATGTTTCATTTGATAAACCATTAAACGAATGTTATACAACGAGGATGTTTAGTGTACTAAAATATGTTTAACCAAACACTTTCCAGTCGATAGCCAGGTATATGGCAATAGTTTATCATTTGTTGCCGTGTTTTAGATATTCTTTCCCTTCTTTTGACACTGGGTTTTGAGTTTCGGTGCTGCCTTGGAGTATATAACATTTGTCATTTCCTATTCTGACAGAGCTTACAAAATATCTAGGAAACATCATTCCGTTGATTCTGGAACACGACTTGTAAACATACTCTGTGTGTGGCATGTATTGACGTTGAAATAAGAAGTGCATTTATTTAAACTGTTGCAAGATTAATTGTAAAATCGACTACCACGTTCACTTCGAAAAGTAATAAATCTTTGATTTGCAAATGTTCAATATTTACGTATGATCTCAAGTTACCAAACTTCATTCAATATCACAATTCCTTCGCGATAAATATCTGTCAACTTTACGCCCATATCGTTAGATATCTATATTCAATTCGTACTATAAAAAATTCCCATATAAGTTATTTAATCCGGGTCGTTAGTCCAGAATTAAATAAATACACTGTTGATTAATAGCCAAGTTATATATCGAACTAAATCTTTAATGCAACACAGGATCTATTTCAAACCTTTTAATAGATAGATGTAGCTTTCAAGAACATGACTTGTGTCAAGCGTACGTTGACGTAAATATCTTTGATGAAAATTCTATTAATTGTTCTAATTTCGATCTTATAATATGATAACAAGTAATTAATGAAATAAGTGTTTGTACGTAGACATAATGGTATTATCCCAATATGTCCTTCCAAATTGTTTTTAATTGACGTCAGTAAGGTTACTTTTTAGAAGATAGAGATTTCATTTGTCAATGTGCCTAATTTTTTTTTGTTTTTTTATAACATATATGCATTTTTGAGGTCTTTTATCGATAATCTATTAAGCTGCAGATTTTAATTGGCTTTATGCATGCTCTAACTTCAAAACAAATTTATGTTGCAGGTTATCACCGTCATGATACAATTTTCTTGATTTCGTCTTGATTTCTAAGTATTCATCTGAATGAATAACACTGAAGCAAAATATTTTCTCTAAAAAAATTTTTTTAACAATTCTATATCCATATAATAATTTTCATAATGTTATTGAATGAATAACACTGAAGCAAAATATTTTCTGTAAAATATTTTTTTTTTAACAATTCTATATCCATATAATAATTTTCATAATGTTATTGAATGAAATGATTTATAATTTGTGCATGAAAATATCTCGACATTTAAAAAATGAGCAGCAAGTATATAAAATTCGAAGGTGAAGGTCTCCCTTTCGTAATTGACAGACGAGTCGTAGCACTAACATAAATAAATATTAACTGATAAATTTTGTTTTAAAGTTAATTGCCTCATTTTAATAATTATCTAGCTTCTTTTAAATTACATAAAATTCAATTACGGTTTTCTCTCATTGTCATCTACAAATTTCAACAGGGATTCAAGTTCTTAATGTACAAACGGTAGCAATATTTGTGACATCTAAAATATCAAATATAAATCTAAAACAATAGTTAGACTGTATTTGAATAAACTATAACATTAAGAGCTTATGGAGAGTTCTGGGGCCTGTTTATCGAAGTGCTTTTTGGACTAGGATATATCCTAAGATCATCTTAGGACGTATCTTTGTCCTATGTGGGTTTATGAAACATGTCGTAACTTAGGAAAAGTCATAGGAATCCTTACTTTAGGACACCTATTTAGATGTCGTCTTAAGATGGACCATCTTTAGGATATATTTTATGGTGGTTAATACGTCTGTCACCTATATATATATATATTTATTTAGGAAGATTATTAATAATTTGTGTATCAACTGACTGCTTAGGGAACTATAATGATCCACTGAACTATTTGGGTGACATTGATTTTATATGCAAGTATAGATTATCATGTCCGTAACACAGGCGCTTAGAGAATGGATTCCCCTTTTTCTAAATATCTTTTTTTTTGTATTTTAATTTTTACTAAGTAAATATTCTTAAATATCTTAATTTATTTTCACTTATGTAATGTGGTCATGCTCTTATCCAACAGATATTACAAAAACAGAAGTATACATTTGATGCCCCTTTAGTCATATTTTCCACGTGGAAAATAAGAAAAGAGGGACATCATATACAAATAAAATACATTAAATAAATGAAGGTTAAAATATTAAAGAATATTTACTTTGAAAAAAGTTAAAAAACAAAAACAAAAAAGATTTAGAAAAAAGAGGGTCCATTCCCCGAGTGCCTGTCAACATTTATATGCTTCGAACTTTTAAGAGTTTAAACTTATACTAAAATTCTGTACTACCCCTCCCTTCACTTTTGGTCTTCCTCAGATTAAATTTCACCGCTATCCATGTGTATTTATACTGGTAACATTCCCAAGTTATGTCTCTATGAGATGAAACATAGAGAGCATATCTGGGAACCAGTACGTAAACAAAACAAAATATCTATGAATATTATATATCTCCCCAAAAGAGGCGTGGTTTGTGAAACAGCTGTATTTACAAAGTGCAACCTAAAAATATATAATGATTGTTACCAATTTTCTTTAATTAGTTTTCACTATTTACAACTAATTTGTTCAATCATTATATAAAACGTTTTTACATTTATTTTTTTTTAAATTTTTTTTTTGTTTCATAAAGTTTGAATGTATAATTATTAGATACATATTATGCATCATCTTTATAAATATACTGCTAATATTTCTATTTTTCAATCTTACAATTGTTCACTGCTGGTGAAATTCAATGCATTCTTAAAATTTGTAAATCATTTTTTTCTTTCCCTTACCGAAAAATAAGCCTTGTGTCAAACATTTGCAGCAAACTAGCAGTAAACATTGCCGCAAGTTTGCCGTAACCGTTTTACCATGCAAATAAAGCTTAATAACATAATTATGCAAATTAGAATTACAATTAGGACAGCGGTTATGACATACTAGCTAAGATAGTCCTAAGATAGCTTCGATGTGCATGCTGATATATGTCGTAAGTCGGTCCTAACATTATCCTAATTTATTCCCAAGATAGGTCTAACGACATATCCTAGGACAGCTTCGATAAACAGGCGCCTGTAGTGTAGCATACTATGTCTGTGAACATCGGTAAATTACTACGGTTTCTTATTCTAGAATTGGATAATTTTAAATGGATTTTTATTTGATTATTTGTAAAACGTTGAAATTGCTTATTACTTTAAAGTGCAATTATTATCGTATGCACCATTGCATGATAAAGTTGTTGTCGAATAAATCCACCTAAGATAATTCAAACTATTTGTCAATTTATAATAAACACTCGATTTAGTCAGATTTTTTTTTTACTTTACCTTGCACTGTTATTACAAGGAGTAATTATGATTAATTTTTTTCCTTTTACAAAGGTAAAAATGTAAATATTACGAATACAAAAGAAATATCACAAGTTCCAATTGAGGTTTGTAAATTGATAGTGCTGTGAGTTTGTTTATGTTCAGGTTTATTACTTTGAATTTTATATTCATTTCAGTGAGGAATATGAAGTAGTCGTCAACCTTAGATCGGGACATTAGCAGGGAAGGGTAAGTTAGTATTGCAATACAGTGAATATTTAACGTAGACAATGTAGTCTTCCTGTTGAAGTTCATTTCTTAGTTAGGTTAAATAGCTGCAATATTATTGGGTTTTGTACATTGTGAAAAAGACACGCTGAAATTCGTTTTCCGTAAACATGTAGAAAAATTGCAATTTATGTTAATTGCGTTGGACAAAAGATATTGACAAAAATATCGAGCTCCAAGGAAAATTCAAAAAGGGCGAAGTCCATAAAAACTGACAAATTCAAACGTTAGACCCTCTCATTTAACGGAACGAATGTAAAACAACTGTCGCATTCATGATTTGGTACAGGCAAGAAAATGGTGGTTTGAACCTGGTGTTATAGCAAGTTAAACCTTTCAATTTTTATGACAGTTATATTGCAAACAGATATAATTGAGAAATATGACAATAATTGGGATCCAGCAGCCAAAATTGTGTAAACATACATCACAGACATACCCTACAACTGGCATTTTGATTGTGTCCTTTGGTAATACCCGTTGTCAAAAGTATACAAAGACGAAGAATTATAAAAACTTATCAAAGATACCAGACTTGTATCCATCAGTTTGTAACTGCGAGTACTTTTGTATCGATGCTGTGTGTCTATTTTTTGTCTATTATTCAAAAGTCGCAATAATTAATGCACGCTACAATATTGGGTTAAGTTATTGTGTTTGGTGAAAATACATTGATAATAATATTAAAGATAGAACTATTGAGACTTTACCATACTGAATAGACCTTTCCTTTTCAGAACAATATTTGAATAACCCGAAAATATTTGATAACATTTTGATAAATAAACAGCTAATTGTGTCTGATATTCAAATATGCATGATACAAATGGATTAGGAAATATGTGTTTGGCAAATAAGTACAAGTTTATTTAAAAATATAACAATCCAAATTGAAATCTTTTTTCTTGCAAATAAACATACCATTCCGTCATTTAAATTGATGAATATAACTGGAGAAACGTTTTATCATTTATATATTAGTAGTGAATAAACTCATCATAGATACCAGGATTGAAATTTTGACTGATAGGTTTTGGATGTTTATCTGTTACAATTTAGTTAATTAATAGAAATGTTTGGTTTCAGTTCATTATTTACAATTGAGGTTTTTTTTCAATGATTTACGTTATATTTATTTACTAAAGTATTCAGTTGTTTTTGGCAGTAAATGCAAGATAGATTTTATTATCCATACAAGAGTAAAGCAAAACGTGTCAGTATTTATGATGGTTTACCCTACAAAATGTGTAAGGTATGTTCAGATTAACTTGTCTCCTTTTGTTTATCCAGTTCGCCTCAAATTTTTACAGTGATTTAGCTATAGAATGTGGTATGCAAATATTACAACAGGCAGGATTTTTTTATTCCTTTGGTTTATTTATAATTAGAATACTTTTTTCAAAATTAGAACAAGGCCTTCTACGTGAGATATTCCATAAACATTGAATATTTTTAGATTCTAATATATAGACGAGTTGGTCTGCTACCATTTGGAAGTACCGAATCATTGCTTTATTTCTCAATAGTGTCCTTTGAATGCCTTCTCCGTGGATAAATTTGTTTAAACGAAACTTATATTTGTCAGTTTTTATTGACTTCCCCCTTTTTAAATATACGTAGGAGTTTTTTGTTTATTTTTGTTATAATTTTTTTACACAAGTTTAACATTTCCAAAAAGGTGTGGAGTGCTTTGCAATATCATAAATTAACGTCACCTTTTGATGTTTTTTTTGTGATTTTTAGAGAAAACGGCAGTCTCATTTTTTCAGAAATATTCATTGTTTTTATAAATTTTCGGATACTTTTGGGTTTAAGTGTCATTATTAATCGTACATGTAAGGAATGTGCTCCGTTCTGGTGATTATGAATCGGGGATTATGAAATGACAACCGTGATGCAAGACAATGATTTGAACAATGTTCCGGTCTATCTCGAATCTCCGGAAGATCTTAGTTTCGTTTGGCAATAGTCATTTTGCTATTGTATTGGTGGGTTCCTAACACTTTTGGTAACTGTTTAACTGATTATAGTTCCTTCGTGGATGAGTAGACTTACATAAGATATTTTATTGGAATCTTTCGCCTCTCCTTTGCACAGATTTATTTTGAATGTCTTTAGAGCTACCCAAAAAGAAATGGTTACTTTACAGCCTGAATTATGCCAAATTAGAAAGTGTACAAAACAAACCTACATTGTAAACAAATTCACATTGTTAGTGTCTGGTGTATATACAATCCTAATATTTATATTACAATCGTGTGATACTTATTTCAGATAGTACGAAACATGAGGATCTAGGAAGGGGGTCTTCATTTTTTAATGTTTTTTAATTTTCGGACATTTTTCTGCATTCGTTCTTTATTTTGCCCATTATTCTCATTAAAATATGTTTTAAGATGGCAAATAGTTTTGAACATGCGCATCGTTTTGTTTTACATTTAATTATTTTACGTGTGCCAATAATTATTATCCAAAAATCTTTTTTGAAAAAAAACTTAGTAACCAAAACTAAGAGTTCTATTTTCACTCTGAAATAATGAAAAACAATATAAATGTCGTGCGTCCGAATAGTTTTTCTGGTTTAGCTTCATCAGGAACTCTCAAACCCAAACATTTGAAAGCGAAGGATGAATGTAGATAACTAATTAATCAATTGAAGATAACAACACCCATAAACCAATTTCTTATATGTTGAAATACAGTCGTCCCATACTTAGGTATCCACTGAAGGGTTACCCTGACACTTTTTAACGTAAGGTGTTGGGTCACTATACCCAAATAAAGAAAATTCAGTCTTATCCGAGACGTTTTACGAATTTTTGCTTTCTTTTCCGCATTGCAGAGACACGTTTTTACTCTGTACATAAAAGATATATTGAAAAAACCCTATGTATGTATAAAGGTATAAAAAGTACACACCCATTATTTACAGAATACCGCCAGTTAGGTTCTAATGATTGTTGTGATAGTACATGCTAGACATTCTTATCTAACATGCAATCAAATTATCAAGAGTTTTTGGTGGTCATGTTTAAAGAAATTCCCAGTAATGGTCATGCTTCTTAACTAAAAGCTACAATCTTTTATATCAGTTTATCAGCCATCTATTCACTTAAAAGCTTTTAAAATGTACTTTTGTCAGCCAATTTACATATATTGGCATCATAAAAAGATGCAGGTTTGCTTTACCTAAAAGCAAAACATATTTAATAAACAACTCAGCAGACGAAAACATTTCCTCTCTCCCACGATCTATCAACTACTATCTTAATGTACATCCGATGGACAATAAGAGCTCAATTCGTCTTACTAACATGTCGTATAGGGATAAAACATGTGGTAGAAAACACTTATTCTAAACATTGACAATACAGGAATATTTTCTAAGAAAATATGTTTTAAGATGGCAAATAGTTTTGAACATGCGCATCGTTTTGTTTTACATTTAATTATTTTACGTGTGCCAACAAATGTAATGTAAACGTTTGGTTCCGATGTTATTGGCATTTTGTGTATGTTTATTGCAAATACTGGTAATAATTTTGTAAACTTTGTATCTTATAGCGGGTTATTATTTTCGCAATTTGAATTCAAAAACTTTCTACATGGTCGCGAAACAATCAAAAATACCTCCACGTGCCATTTTCTACGTTTACAGTAGCTTATAATTTAGCGATTGCTTCTATTGCGTTTTTTTTTTATAGATGTTTCTATTTATTTAGGATTTTTGTTTACAGTTATGGTCTAATATTTATTGCAGCTGTACAGATGACACATTATGGGGACTAAGAATAGATCTGATGTGGCAACGAAAGGTCGTATTATGAAACATATAACGCCATCTGAAGATGAGGACAAGCTTCGACTGAACAATTATGACATGGTTCCAAAACTTCCATCTGTGAAAATAACACAAAAGCCTCAGCAAGGTCCCCATCTATCGGATTTCTTAGACAAGCAAACCAGTACTATTGAAAATAAAAATGGCGGCATAAAACTAAAACCTGTGGGAAAGGAAAAAGCATTTGCAATTCTTAAACAATATAATACTATAGTGTCTAATGAGGTAAACCTCACAGTGAAAAATTTACCATCGGTAAAATTGCCATTTAAGAAACAACCTCATCAGCCACCATTATTACCAAAGCCAGATGTGACGCCACGAAAAGTACCAATTTTTACAGAGGGAATTAGTTCATTGAGTAAGACTTCAAAACCCTCATTTCTTGTTCCAAAAGATAAAGTTCTACGAGCAAATTTACCAAATAATATAGTTGTCGCTCATAAGAAAGATAACTATTCCTTCGGAGTAAAGTTACCTAAAAGGAAATCTCCGATACATGTTGAAGAGAGTTCGAAGTTCAAACAAATGCATAATTTAGGATTAGATAGTCTTCCAATTGTAAATTTGGAAAAGTTTATGAAAACAAAAAAGGATGCTGTTGATGGTGCCAGGGGTTTAAAACCAATACCAAATGGTAATAAAAGGAATAAACCAAGAAGATTAGATCCAATTTCATCAGATGTAAATCTTAAACCATCTATAGAGTCGTCGCGATCCTATGATTGGACTTTAGATAGAAAGAAAGCGAATCGGTGGAAAGATCAAAATTCAGCAAAATCGGAAGGAAAAGCTAATGTTGTATGGATTGGGAAAAGTTTAAATTTCGGTTCCTCATCGAACAGAAATCGAATACTAAAACAAATGTATCCACAAGAAGACGGAAACTTCAAAACAAAGCAAGGGGACGAATTAAATCGCCTGAAATTTCAAAATCGTGATCCTTCAATGTATGGAGTGTGTTCATTAGCACCAATTGATGTCATCGGACAGTCTACAAGACTGTTCACAGATGTCCCTTTTAGGGAAAAGTATAAAAGTTTTCCAAAGCATCACACAAAAAGCAATGTACGTGAATATTACTTCGAAACAGATTCAGAAAGTTCGTTAAACGAGGATTGGAAAAATATGATCAACAATGCCATAACAAACAGAAGTTCGTCTGCCGAGAGTGGCACGGTCACTCCGCGTGCAGTTCCGAATCCTCCACCTTCATATGTATCAAGTACACACGATGAAGAAGAAGCATTGATACCGTTAGAAATTTCTAAAACAATGCATCGAATTCAAGAAGAAAGGTCAAGTTTAATGATGGATTCCGCATCGAATCGTGTTCAGCAAACATTTAGTGCAGGTTCACGTCAACTGCAAACCGGAATGTCACCGGCTCCAGTAATAACAATAAATAATGCATCGTTGGAGGAAGAAGAACCGCCAAAACAAATTGCATCTACTACACCAAGGAAAAGCAAGGAACCAATGATCAGTAGTGTAGTGGATCTTAAGTTTGACCACAAGCATTTAAATGTGCCAAAATTCATTGATTCTGAACGCAGACCACCTGTTAAATTAGACGTGGAATCAAATTCCCAATCGCAATCGCATAGTTCTTCGGATCCCGTAAAATCTAAAACGGTATCGACAGTTTCAGACAATCACAAATTGAACATAACTACATTGCAACTTATAACAACAAATGAGAGGAATTCGCCTGTACCACCATTTAATTCATTTCTGTCTGATGCAGAAACAGCAGGATTTACGCCACGAAACACATACACAAATGTCAAACTAGACAGTGGCAATGACGAAACATTCAAGCATTTAACGGTTAACAATAAAACGTTACAATTTATTTCACCATTGCAAGTTCAGTCAAATGCTAAGCGACAATAGTCATGTTAATTTTGTTATTGTTGATGTTTAATTTCTGTTGTAAAATTATCTGATGTAATTATACGAAAAGTATGTCCTACACAATGTGTGAATTAATTTGGGTATAGATGTAGAAGCTAGATAATATCAATTAATTGGGTGATTGATTGATTGGTGATTAACGACACTTTCAGCATTATGGTACCCTACTATTTCGTGAGGATCAATTTTTATTGGTGGAGGAAGCCGTAGTGCCCGAAGAGAACCACTGTCCTTCGGTAGGAAAACTGACAATCCTAGTCAATTACGATTGGAGTTGATTACACCTACCAAGTGTTGGATTCGAATTCCCAACTTCAGTGTTGACAGGCTAGTGATACAGTAGTTTGGCTACTTATACCACTCGGTCACCGAGACATCACATTTTGTTGTAAGAAAACTAAGTACAGAACATTATTAAAACAATGAGAATTAGCGTTATCAACCAACAAGATATTTTACTTTGAAATCATTGAAATTATCGACAGAACAAATTTTAAAAATTTTAATTTCCTAACGTACCTTACCCACCCCATAAAATTGTAAATTACAGCATCAAAAGAGAATGTGCAAACACTCTAACAGGAGTAAAATATGGATAAATGTTAAATTTTGGAAGAGTAAAAAGTGGCAAATTATTTTTAACGACCTTCACAAAAATGTATAAAACGAGAAAAATGAAACTAAATTTGGATTTGGTTTAAACATTATTTATTCAATAAACAAAATCATGATAATATATATAAGATAATATACAAAATTCTGGGCGTTTGTTTTGCAAATAATGGATTTTGGCAAGACCATACCGAATATATAATGAAAAAATCTTAAATCAGGATCAAGATTTTAAGAAAAGTTAGAAATTCACTTGACCGATTCACTCTGGAAAAATTATATATGTCTTATATAAGGCCTATCCTAGAATACGCCGGTGTTGTGTGGGACACACATAGTATTTGCATAATACAAAGACTTGAAATATCCAGATTCATGCCGCACGCATAGGTTCGGGGAGAACAAATTTACGAATTTGGATTTACTCTGAACGTTTGGTCTCTATGGTATCAGAATGACAGATGAATATTATCCAAAATCACCTGTTGTGCGCATTGAAATCCATATACTTTTATATCAAATGTATCATGGGGCCTCAGTGGTCCAAGTAATCACATCACTGCATCACTAGCCTGTTAACACTGAGGTTCTGACTCCGAATCTCCCACGTGGCAAGTGCGCTCGACTCCAATCTTATTTGACTGGGATTTTCATTTTTATTACCGAACGTCGGTGGTTCTTTCCGGGCACTCCGGCTTCCTCCACCACCACAAAATAGCACAATAGTGCTGAAAATGGTGTTAAACACCAATCAATCAAATGTGTCACACCTTGATATATATATCTCCGTTGAAAATTTATAGAAGCATTAAGGAACTCCTTACTCCCCAAAGCTAAGTTGACCTTAGATGAATTTGGCGATTTTGTTTAGGTTCCTTTTGGTCATATAGCTCTTCTTGTATTTTAGTCTTATACATCCAGATAGTTTTCTTGCCAGGAAATATATATCATCTCTTTCAGATAACAAAAATGAGTTTTGGTTGGTTACTATTGTGTGACATGTATACATAAGAGCTGTGGTGATTGACACGTCAAACCTCAGGAGCAAAAATACTTGCGTGTCAATAAATGAAATGGAATACGGTACCACTCAGAAGAAGTCAAATTAAAAAAGGAAAAACTTTGAACAAAATGTATCCTCATAATAAGTTTTGCTACAATGTTTGATCATTGTTGTCTTGGTTAATAACCGTTGACTAAAACTGGATTAGAAATAACACGACTTGCACAAGGCAATGCTAATCTTGCCAGGGCACGTAAAAGCTCATCAACGATTCCAGGCTTATAATATTTTTACGCCAGATGCCCGTTTCGTCTACATAAGACTCGTCAGTGAGCTCAAATCAAAACAGTTGAAAGGCCAAACTTTTCCCGGTATTTTTGACATGTACCGTTTTTCACGTGACAAAGCCACGTGTATGTACTGTGAAATATTTTGCAAGGTGCTGTGAAGAGCAGATGACAGTCCTATAACTAAAGAACGGTCACAGTGTTGACTGTTGTGTAAGGGACAAATAGTAACAACCAAATCAATTCATAATTTATGACCATTATGTTTGCGAATTAAGCAAGAATAGATAAAAAATGAATTAAAAATTAAAAGAAATAATAACGACAACAAACACACTTCATATCAGTTATTTCCACTTTAAAGTACTATATATTGCCAACAACGCATCCCACGGGTAAACCTAAAAATAATAATAATAAAAAAAACGAAAACATCAGTCTCTCATAATAGTATAAGTTAATGAAATAATGTAAACACTAGTGTCGTTGGGACGTCGATCTTTGCATTGTTTAAAAAAACAATTTTATGTAGTTTAACATGTTAACTTTCTCCTTCGGAACTGAAAGTTTGTTATAATCCGATTTTACATGGTTTGTTGCAATATATGATGTACCGAAGTTATGCAATATCAAAAAAATATTTGGAATGAAGTTAATTAAAAAACAAATGTTGCTAATACCACGTGTTCCAATTGTTAAGTCTTTTTAAGAGACTTTCGATTCCACGACTATAACGCCGTAAATACGTGACCAGTGTGAAGAAGTGAGTATGATCTTATTCGTATATTACATCTATATATAATATATTGAGTTATGCTTAACCTTTCAAATATAAAACAGCTATGAGATATATTAAAGATAAAAAAATTAAAACTACAATATTTCCAACTATATATCCGTTTTTGCTCATGGATAATGCCCTGTAAATCATAAGTTTAAATAAACTTATTCTAAAGGTAACCAATTCAACACTGTAAGTAGATCTTTGACTAATATTTTTATCGTTATAAATATTAATTTTGTAATCAATAATTAAAAACCCAACTGAACATTATGATTATACACAATTGTACATTCACGGTCCTAAAATCTGTCGAAACCTATGTTTTGGCATTGCACATGTTTTTTTTTCTGACTATTTATGATGTCTTTAAACTAAATACATTGGATGTGTACTGATTGATATTTAAGTCTTAGATACATGATTTTTTAATAGTTATTACTAGTATTGGCTTTGAACTAGCTTTCAGTAACTGAGAGTACTCTCAGATCTGTACTTTGTGTCTTTTAGTTAGTTTTTTGTTTGCTTTGTATAGATCTGATGAGTTAAGCCCTTTTTAACTAATTTTTATAGTTTGTTCTTATATTGTACTGTTACACTACTATGCCAGATAAGGGGGAGGGTTTGGCAGCAGCTTTTTCGTTTGAATTGTTTTACGTTAATCATTTCGGGGCCTTTTTATAGCGTACTATACGGTATGAGTGTTTCCCATTGATGAAGGTCGTACGGTGACCAATAGTTGTTAACTTCTTCTTTGGACTCTGGTGGAGAGTTGCCTAACGTGCAATCATACCGCACCTTCTTATTTTTATAGTGGTCAAATATCTACTGCACTGATTATACTTCATGTACATATTTCAGTAATACTGCAGTAATCCAAATTTTCCTTCGCAAAACGAAAGATGATATACGAAACCAAGGTGTAAAATATAAATCTGAAGCTTTCAATAGTACAAACAATTCCTCGTGCAAATCTCTGATTCCTTGTCCGGATTTCGCTATACTTTAGGTCCTTAATTTTTTGGTTTGATCAGCTTTTTCAACATTTTATTAGATTTTGAATTTTCGAATATTTCGGCCCCGAGCATCACTGAAGAGACATTAATTGTCGAAATGCGCATCTGGTGCATAAACATTGGTGCCGTTAATGTTATCATTTATACAGCCACTATTTGGAAGGAAAGAGTGAAAATATAAGTAAAAAAAAAATCAGAAATTAAAAGAAAATACTTTCTGAAGCCTGCAAAAGAACAAAATACTTATGTAAATGAAGGTCATATATTTATATATACGTACTCAAATGTTTCCGATTAAATCATAGAACCGTCTTCAACGTTGCTACAATCCATTGGCAAAATCAATTATTCACTTCAACAAAAACTTTCGAAAGCAAATGCATGATAAACTCGGAGTATAATTTCTCCTTTGGCGTGCTAAGCAATATTTCTTGACAAGACACACAAAAACATATCTATATATACAATATATATATATATATATATACATAGGTCTAGTGACCTTTGTTTATCATTGTGGGTAAATGTCCAACCATAGAGTGTATTGATTTACATGTCAGACGTCGACGGTATACTGCACAATAATTTCAAGAAGAAGAGTGCTTTTAGAATTAAGTTTACCGGTTTTCCGTGTCCTGTCGGCTGTTTATTTAGTTCACGATACTTTCTTGAATTTAAGGATTGATTATTGTGTGCTTATCCTCAAGTGGCAAATATTCCAATCATATTCAGGGGGATCTTGAATAAAAAGATTTTATTATCATTGCTTACATATATAATTAGTAACTTTAATCTATACTGTCACGTGAATATTAAATTGTATGCATTTTAACCTATACGATCTTGTGCACACTCATTAAGACGCGATGATTTCACAACAGAACTTCATCGGTACTTTTAAAGTGCTTGAATTTCCGTCATCAACTGTTTTTACAATTAAGTAAATAGTAAAATAACAAAAAACAAAACGAACTCCAAGGAAAATTTCAAAACGGAAAGTCCCCTAACAAATGGCAAAATCAAAATCTCAAACATATCAACCGAATGGAAATATGTAAAATCAGTCTTCTAAAGTAAATCCTTACACGTGTGGTATATTCTGAATCAGCAAAAGTTTAGTCCAATATTCCAGACTTAAAATGGAAATACCATTAAAAATGAGCAAGAATTCTGACCACCAGAAAATGTCCCTTTTGAATTCCTCCGATAATTCTAAACACTGATCATCAGAAACAAATTCTCTCAAAAAATTTAAAATTCTAGAAATGAATATTCTACCCGGTTTAACACAACTGGCTATGAAATTTAACTTTCCAATGAACGATTGCACTTCTTTTCTGAACACCTTACTTTTAACAACCAAGCATTAACCATGCAAAGCCAAAATTTCAGTAATCCTAGCAGGAGTAACTTCTAACGTCATTTTCTCCGTATCGAACCAGACGCCAAGAAAAGACATCCTCCAACATTAAAAAAAAATGTTCTCAAAACTATCAAAAATTGTTGATCGACGCTTCAACTCTTTCAAAAATAATATATAATATATAATAAGAACTAAGTGTTTACCATGTGAAAACAAATCTTGGAGTGAAGTAAAAAGGTATGTAATTTAACAGGTAAACGAAAGTGAGTAGAATTAAACTAATAATCCAATAAGAAAAGTTATGACAAAATCAGGATGACGAAAAAGTAATTAATCATTTTTAATAAAATTAAAATAAAAATTTCCATATGTCCTATTTTTGGTGCAAAATATAGTTAGCATGCATTTTGTGTCCGGGGATACATGGACACGTATGTATGGCTTCATCATATATAAACAGCGTTATATCCATACATAAAAATTAAATAAATAGTGGACAAAGTGGATACAGTAACCCAGTGCTATTTCTTATATAAAACTTAGGATACAGGCGGACACAGCTGGACACATTGCAACTGCTAGAAAAAAAATATTAAAAACTGGGGAAACATGCGGAAACAGCTGGACACAACGATATTTCTATATAAAACTTTAAGATATAGGTGATACAGGCGGACACAAGCTAGTGAACACAACGTATTTTCTATATAAAACCTACAGAAACTGGTGGCTACAGGCGGACACGGCTGGACACAGTGCTATTTCTATATAAAAATTATAAAAAACTGGTGATACAGGCGAACACAAGTGGACACAACGTAATTTCTATATAAAACTTATAGAAAGTTGTATAGACGATAAATTAACTCTATTTCTTGAATAACACACAACATTACACTGGAACTATTTGAATATTAAATATTGGTATTGGTGTTCTAGATGGATGTGTCCGGTGCCTACGCAATGTCAATACGAATTTACAGTATAATTTGTGTTCCAGAAAATTGTATATAATTAAAATTTACATTTGTGGCATTTTACATTAGAACACGGTCATTTGTATTATATTAAGCCTTTAAACTGAATTAGTATATTCAATATTTATAATTTATCGTTGTGTCCGTGTGTCCGGCTACAAAATGCATGTCAACTATTTTTTGCACCGGAACCATGCCACTAATGTTTCTTATAGCAGTCAGTGCCCCCCCCCTTTTATAAAAAGTTCTGCGCCCTCCCCCCTCTGGATCCGTCACTTTTTTTATGCTTGTAAGAGTAAACTTCCAAATGCAACATGTGCAAGACATTCTATACAAACTCAACTCAATCTCTTTTGGTTTTAGTCTATTTCCAAGAAAAACATCAACGAATATAATTTTAGTGGGAAGGGAACAACTAATGTATTATGTGAGGGGGGTAGGAGGGACGGTCCTGATCCCGAAATCCCGGGCTTAAAAACATGGAATCCCGAGGTCCCGAATTTAGAAAAAAATTAAAATCCCGACATCCCGAAATTCGAAAAAAGAATCCCGGATCCCGAAAGGATCAATCCCGAAATCCCGAGCTTAAAAACACCCGATCCCGGAGTCCCGATAAAGGTCCTACTCCCCCTCATTATGTCCCAGGTATTCTAGATCGAAACCAGAAAATTTTAAGTACATTCATTGCAATCCGGAAGATCCTGCACTTATCGAAAAAAAAGTGAGAAATTTACTCTCCGTAACCAGAAGGAGCCAACCCATCACGAAAGATTATCTAGAGAAAATCATTTGGTAATACTATGTTCGGAATTATGTCCTTATCCGTCAGGATACTAAAATTACACCTGAATCAATATTTCCGGCTCGGCGGCGAATTTGTATTTTGAAAACAAAGTTTAATATTTCAACTCACAATTGTTATCTTTAAGTAAGTGCCATATCAGAAACACTTTCACAAACATATGATTTTATATTTATACACAATAAATGCACAAAGTCTAAATTTAATAGTAATTATACTTGAAAAAAAAACCAAACAATTTTACACTTACACTTACAGAGCGAATCGTAGCGTAGCGGTAGACCCTCGTATCATAACCATATAACGGACATTCTAAAAAGCACACTAGTCGAATGACACAAAATATCTGACCCAAAAGTATCTACAGTCTCAAAATGACATGGAAAACGATAAAATAATTCTATCATTAATTTTAGCTTTTTAAGTTTTTTATGCCCTTGTCGTAGCAGAGGTGGCTTTAAGTGTTACCCTTGTCAGTCCGTAAAACTACCTTGGTCCCAAAAATGGTTTCCGCTCTCTAACTTTAGTTTGCCACAACCAAATCTTATGAAACTTTTACACAATGCTTATCACCATAAAATACAGATCATGTAACAAAATACTAACATGTTTGACAACGTTTGAATAATTTCGGGTGGCATCACTTTTACAGTTCTCTAGTTATGTCCCTTCTTACAGTTCTCTAGTTATGTCCCTTCTTACAGTTCTCTAGTTGTGTCCCTTCATAACATTATATGCAAATAGCGGCATGATCTGTCAGTGTCCCAATGACACATTCTCCATTTATTTATAGTTTATGTGAATCAAAATAAACTTACGACTTGATTCAGCAACTTTACATTTCCCCCCTTTTTATGAATATATTTTACATATTTCCTGACTTCTATTTGTTCGGTTGTTGTATTACTCCTCCAAAATCTTGGAGGAAATTTTGGTAAACAGCTTTATAAGTCACTTGTATTCTCTATTTATGAACTCTTCTTATATCTATGAAACAACATCTAATCATGCTAATCGTCCTTGGAAATAGCAAGTATCAATAATATAAAGTTCATAAAAGATTAGTATTCATAGACCCCTCTGATGAGTTCTATAATCCTCCGTTCCTCCCAAGGTATCCATACTTATACTCTCACTATACATATAATATACAATGCTCCAGCTAGAAATTGAAGTGGTCTGCTAGGCTGAACATCTCATTGAACCCATAAAGTGCTGGGAGTTCATCAGGTGTACCACTCAAACCAAGCACTGAAAGCTGGTCAATGATGTCTGTGTCAACAAATCTGTCTTGAATGTTGTTAATCAATTTGGTCAGGAATGGTTCTTTGACTTTTGTGTTGAAGTCAGAGCTTGATGATGTTGTCAGTTGTAAATCTGATGACATCTGTGAGTACTTAAGCTGCCATGGCCCATCTTGAGTTTGTCTGGTTTCCAGCATCCTGATGGTTTTGTCTACTGTAGTTTTTACCATGCCAAGGTTCACATCCCTACATTGAAATACCAGTGATAGGGCAGCTATGTGTGGTAGGGTGTCTGCAAGTAGCAATTGGGATCTCACGATCAGTGTGGTTGGGTCTTTAAGGCTTTTCAGGATGCCATTACCAACTGGGTCAGTGCTGATTTCTGTTGTTTCCAGGTTTACAACAATAGATTTGTAGGATCGTACTATGCTAGAAACTGCCTGATCATGAGATAACCATCTGTGATGTTTGGCTTGTTTTATTGCTAGAGGTGCTTGGTTAAAAGCAGCTTGTACCATCTTCAGACTTGCGGTATGGACACAACTGTACTTGTAATATTTGTATATTTTTTCTAGAGTTTCGTCTGTTTTTTTCATAAGTGGTACAGAGTTAAAGCTGTCCCTACAAGCCAGTGCCAATCTATGATCTCTGCAGTGGTTTGTTATCATTGCTGGGTTGTGGTCTTTTAGTTTTTTTGCTACATTTTTGTACACCATTCTTTTTACATATGAATACAGCTGCACCATCGGAGGCAAAACCAGACACTTATAAGAAGTTCTTTTTTGTTGATTTCGGTTATTATTGAGTTTGTAACTGTCTCTGCTGTTGCATTTGGTAACTCTGTATCGACTAAAAATGCTGTCTGCAGTTGTCCTGTTTGGTTGATGTATCTGGAACAGAGAGCTAGGTGTTTAATAGATCGGTTGTCGGATACCTAATCTACCATTAAAGAAAAACCTGGACTTGATTTTACATTGTTTGTAACCGTATCGGAGACTTGCTCACTGAGAAAGTTAAGTAGCTCGTGTACTATTTCCCAACTTGAGTATGTGGCATCATTGCTAACTGTAGGTTTGGTAAGTTGGTAGCACCAAGTTCAATGCAGAGATCTATCATGCTGTTGAAGTGGTCAAGTGGCAAGTTCTTGCTAATTAAGTAGTACATAACTTTGAGTGCATCAACAATGGCTTTCTGGGCAGAAGATGTGATGTTGTTGGACATGTCGTTGGCAGTCTGATTAAGTTCCAAGGAGAGTGAATGTTTATGCTGATTACTGTCTTGATGCTCTTTGACCTTGTCACGACGAAGACACTTGTAACCAGTCTCGGACCAAGCCTTGTTACCATTAAAACCATAGGACTTGTGTTTCTGAAATATATGTCTCTGATTTTACGTAATATTATACTTTTCAAAAAATAGGCGATCGTTGAATAACAGCCAGTGATAAAATTATATTTCAATAGTTAAAAAAAACCACAATTACCGAGTTGAGTCTTTGTTGAAGAACGATCTGATAGAAGAGTTTGTCTTTGCTACTTTCTGCTTGTCACTCACAAGTTGAGATTGATGACGTTTCTGGGAAGGCATTTTAATTTTAATGATTTTAAATCTATTCGAAAGTTACATTTATAGCTATTACGATCTGAGTTTTAGTTCTGGTGGTGAGATCAAAAATGCTGACTCAAGACTAAAACACGCGCTGACACAATTATGAAATCTAAATTCCTTTATGATGACGACTACAACTTACAAGGTAAATAGTCTTTAATCACCTAGTAATTATCACCTTTGAAGTCTTACCTACTGTAATTGATTATAATGACATGGTTAACCTCGGGGCAGGTGTCATGAATGTAGATTACTTTCTGATAGGAAATCGATGACTCAAAAGGCAAAATTTTTTTTGGGGGGGGAAAGACGGCAGGGCAGAAGGGCGCAGTGCCCTTCTATTTTGGGCTGGCGAGACCACTGATATGCTATATAAATGTTCCTTTCACCTTGTAATATCAATTCCCAGATCCTATGAAAATTCTGTCATTGTAAAGCCTTAATAATGTCACTCCTATCAATATGCAATGCAAAGCACAGACCTCTGTTCACCGCCTCAAACTCTTCATGTCTAGATGGAAGGATTACTTTTATATCCTGTACAGTCTAAAATCAAGGATAACAATTTATCTGGCTGGTAAAAAATTGCATTAATGGGTTTAACATCTTTTTACACCTCACTGGTTTTTCTGTGTAATAGTTTCAAAACTGAACTTCATACTTTTTTAAAGTGGCACACCATGTACATGTACATTAGATGAAAATATGTTTCTTATCTTCAAGCTAATATGACATAATAAACAGGTTGAATCTACTTCATACATATTAACATTTGATTTATGGATTTGAAGCAAACAGGATATTAAGCATAAGTCTGCATTTAATGCTAAATGCCCTCTGAATTGAGAAATGTTAAAGTTTTGCACTTTGCCAGTTTACCATACATGCCATACTACATATGTAAGCATGGATTGTCGAGAGTTAATTGAGAAATATTAAGGTAATGAAGAGATGATATTTCAAGGGCTTCAGATTCTATTTTTTTATCCCATATTCCAATATATTTTCACTGATTTGGATCCAAAGGCTTTCCATGTATATGTATATTTTGGAAATTCCCTGGTGAAGGACAGAGGATTACTTTATCAAATTCATATGTAAGGTTTAACCTGCAAATATAAAAAGGGTCATAATCAATATAAGAACCTACATATACATTGTACTTACATCATGTACATGCAAAAAGTTGAATTAAAAAATAATTTTGCATCTTTTTACTAAGGTAATCGTATAGTACATGTAGTATATTAATTTGCATTGTTAAATTACATTCATACAAAATACCAATCACACAAAAAGTACTACATTTACGCATTTTAGTGATTTCAGACTTGAAATAAAGATAGATAACCTGATAACTCCCATTTGCAATAATTCTGGACACAAGTTTACTAAATCTAGTGTTTCCAAGTACAAAATTATAAATCTCCTGACTTAAATTATATCAGTTATATATACACTTAATATGGGCAACAGTGCAATATAGTACATAAGTACATTGTAGAAAGCACAGAAAAGTCTGCTTCTTTAGGAACATCATGAAACATTGAAAGTACAATGTACATATTTGTTACAGTCAACAAAACAAAAAAATTGTTGGAATAAATCTTTAATGGTTTATTAAATGTTAACTTTAAGGTTAATCCATGCTTAAACTTGCCATTTATAAATTAAAGCTTTTCCTTGACATATATATATACATGTATATATAAAACGATCATGACGATGTCGTGTATGTATATCCCTAAATATTCCATGTTTTTATTTTGATTTGTAACAAAGTAACAAAACAGAGCCTAAACCATATGTACAATGTGTAAACAACATGAACATGATGAACAATGACACAAAACATTCATCTAACCATTTATTTTTTCAAACTTTCATAAACACATTTTTTTGTCATAAATGCGCATTTAATCTTATAAGATAGTACTGTAAATTCAGATATTATTGCGTGCATTTATTATTGAGATTGTTGAAGAATGGACAAAAATGCGAGTTTAATTATTGCGATTTCAGGAAAATCTGCATACAAATATATGTTTCAGATACCACAATGCGAGTTCTTATTATTACGATACTCACTCAGTCGCATTATTTGCATTAATAAAATCCTCGCAATAATTTCTGAATTTACAGTAAATATATATAAGATAGTAAATTTATATTACGCTAAACTTTTAAATTAACAAATAAATTACATATAGTTTCATTCAGTATACTCTCCAGGGCCTTACATGCCTTACCACAGCCTTCACGATAAACTTTTGAGTCCACAAGCCCGAGGCTCAGTTTTTTGAAAATTTTAGTTGGATTCTGTTGGCTTGTAGAGAAAAATTTTTCAAGCCTGAAAGGAATTTTACAAGCCAAGGCCATAGGACTTGTGGTTAAGCGTGAAGACTGAATTACCATAGTACTATCGAAATAGATTTTATAATAGAATGTAGTTAAAATGTAGTGCTATACATTTGTAATTTTAGGAAAATACTGAGGCACAACAGTCATGACAGTGTCATTAATTGCTGATCAAAATTAAACAACTTTCAACATTCAAGTATTGAAGTATTTCCTGATAATTTAAGACTTGTCAAGTTATGACTCTTCCTATCATAAGCATGATAAGTCACATGAACATTTCATTTGAAGGTTGTGCTTTATTAGTCCCCTACCAACTTAGTCGAAGGGGACTTTAGGTTTGCACTCCGCCCGTCTGTCCGTCCGTCAGTCCAGCAAATCAGTTTTCCACACTTTTTTTCTTCGTTCTTGAAGATATTGATTTGATATTTGGTATATAGTTTTATCATTACAAGTTATAGATCAAGTTCGAATTTTGTTGCAGTCTGATGATTTAGTCCAGAGTTATCGTGGTCCATATCTAATGTTAGAGTACTACATTTTGTATGTTAAACCATATTTCTGTACAAAGGGAGATAATTGATTTTTTAAAAGACATTCTTTGGTAAATTGTTTGAAGTGTTTGTTATTTTGTATAAACTAATTTTGTGAATGCTATATATATAAAAAAAATGTATGAAGTGAAATCCTTTAATTAGATATTTCATTACATTACATTGTGTATAGATAAAAGTTGTTGACATTTTATAGATAAGTTACAAATCTAAATTAGTTTGTGACAAACATGACAAATGAAAGAAAAAATATTTGGAACTATTAATTATATTTGATTATTTTTTTATAATTTGAAAATAGATATACATTGTATTACATCATCTAATTTTAGAGAACTATATATATTAATCATCTAATGTAAAGAGTGTTTTCCACACTTTTTTTCATCATGCTTGAAGATATTGATTGATATATAGTTTTATCATGACAAGTTACAGTTCAAGTTCAAATTTTTGTTTCAGTCTGATAATTTTGTGCAGAGTTATAGTCCTTGGACTTGAAAAAATCACTCATATAATCCGTTTCCACACTGTTTAGTCATGCTTGAAAATATTGACTTGATATTTACTTTTTGTTTACACCATGGCAAGTTATATAACAAGTTAGCATTTTGTTCCAGTATAATGAATTTTTACCCAGTAGGGGACTATGTATTGCCATGCAACTTTTTTTCACCAACTGTGTAAAGGGAGTTTGACTAAACTTTAGTCCTTTTGGTTCGGCAATTGGTGCTTTTTGGATAAATAATTATATATAATACATGTACAAAAATATAACAATGTTTAACAAGTTTAAGAAGTATCTTTTTGTCATTACCTTTTAACCATTTGAGATTTTTTTAAAAGTTAAGTGTACTGATTTCAGTGTTTTAGGCTCTATCAAACATTATTTGTCAAATAGAATGATTGATTTTATCTAATGAATCTTTTGAAAATTTCATGCGGAATACCTAATAATATATGTCTTTAAACTTTTTCCAAAAACGGCTGATACTTGACTGATACTACCATGACTACATGCAGAATACGGGTTGACACAAGCATGACCAAGAAATACATAGAAAATGCAGTTTTCAAATGCTAAAAAATTCAAGCCCAGATGTCTTCTCAAACTTTTAGGTTCTTCTGGCTCAATCATTGAGCATGTTGCATTGATATGCAAGATTTTATCAAAACTTGTGTGAAATGTTATATCTTGTCAAAATCAAGTTGAATAATTGTGGTAATCTTGAATTTCACCATTAGTATGATGAGTTTCAGTTTCAGTTGCTTGCTTTATTTCAGATTCTACATGTTTGTTATTGGAAGTCCTTGAACCTAAAAAGTTATGGCTGACAGTAATACCAACTTTTTCAGTAAACTGAAAACAGTTTGTAAAAACATTGAACAGGGAATAAGTCAGCTTCAGAGTGAGGTAGAAACAAAAACTTCCAGTAGATCATCTGGTAAAACTGTAATGAAATTGACCAGTCTGAAACAAGAAATCCAAGATATGAAGGTAAGTACATTTAGTTGTGATTTTTTCTTGAAAAATTACTAGCTGAGCTGTTAAAGTGATGAAGATGTGGGAAATATGTCAATTAGACAACAATCCAACTATACAAACAAACAAAACATGTCTAGATGTCAATCTATAGTCATTTGAACTCCCCAAACTGGAGAATTTAAGGGGTTGTAAAATAAAATTACTTGTATAAGTAAGTTTTTTGAGAAAATTAAGGGGAGATTATTGAAAGCATGAATAGAAAATTAAAATCTTACAAATTTAATTATACAAGTAAATATTACTTATAGCTTTAAGTAAATTAACATGAATTAAGTATTACCCCTGACTGACAGTCTTCAACAATAGATAGGTGATTTTTCAAAACATGTAAATTGCCATGTATGTCTAGCTCTAAATCATCCTGCTAAAAATTAAAGTTGTGAATAGATTATACAGAAACTTAAAAAAAATCAGCAATCAACACCGAATTCTTTAATAATAAACAAAAATAAAAAGTAAATGACAAAAGACAACCCTACAACATTGGTTTTAAATTAAACAAAACAGCATAATTATGTACAAGAAGGGGGGGGGGGGGGGGGGGGAGATACCAGAGGGATATATTCAAACTCATAAGTCAATGAAAAACTGACAATGTCATGGCAAAAAAAGGACCAAAAGACAAACAACAGCAAACAAAACACGACATACACTTGAAAAAGTAAATTAAAGACTGAGCACCACTAACCCAACCAAAAACTGGTGTAATCTTGGGTGCTCTGGAAGGGTAAGTAGATCCTGCTCAACAGTCTGTATATATTTTTTTGGAACTAAGAGGTTGTGTAAAACAAAACAAAAATGTGGAATAAGATTATTTGTTATATTTTATCATGTTTATTTCAGGTGGAAGGGAGACAGAAATGTCAATCTTTAGATTTAGAAGGGAAGAAATTCAATGAATTAATGGAATGCTGTCGTTCCTTGTTAGATATACAGAATCATAAACTTCATAACATTGAAATTTTCATGAATCAATATGGCTACCGAGACTATATATCAAAAGGTACATTATAAAAATAAGATTGATTGATTAGTGTTTAACGCCTCTTTCATCACTATTGGCTATTTTGTGATGGTCAGTTTTTATTGATGAAAGAAGCCGGAGTGCCCTGAGTGAACCACTGACCTTAGGTAGGAAAACTGACAATCCTAGTCAATTAAGATTGGAGTCAAGCATATATGCCACGTGTGGGATTGGAACTTACAACCTCAGTGTTGAGAGGCTTGTGATTTATCAGTTTGACTACTCAGACCACTCAGCCACCGAGGCCCTGTAAAATGATTGCCATTTAGAATTATCCACCAGTGACCAAATAAGTGGATATTATTAGTTACACAGTGTGCAATTGTCCTTACACATGTATACAAGAATTTATTGACCCGATAAATTCCGTATTAGTACAATTGCACACTGTGTAACGAATTTATCCTGATTTTGTTATATCACCACTTATTATATTCAAATTCAATTATTATGACAATATCAACCAAATATATTTAGATATTTAATCTAAAACTGTGAAAAATGAAAAATATAAGAACTATAAAGAAACTCAAAAAAATACTTTTATTATTAGGTCAATGGTTTAAGGGAGAATTTTAATTGACTTAATAAAAGAATGCACTGGAATTTATTAGGACAATATCAGCCAATCAAATTGCGAGAAATTACTCTAAATCAGGATAACAGCAATTATAGGTCACCTTAAGACCTTCAACAATTAGAAAAACCCATACGTATAGTCTGCTATAAAACACCCTGACATGAAAAATGTGAGACAATTCAAAAGAGAAAACTAATGGCCTAATTAAAAACAAAAAGATATACGAAAACAAACACTGAACTACATGTACGTTATACAGGCTCCTGACTTGGGACAGGCACATATAAAATGTGGCTGTGCTAAACATGTTTGTTAGTGCTTTTTAATAAAAGTTATTTGAAAGAATCATTATAAAAGGATTTATTTATCCTGATTAATATTCAACAAACAACAGATCTAAACACGAAAATGTGATAAATTAATACTATTTTTGTTTTTGGATATGAGCCATTTGGAAATACAATGTAGTTTTATTCAAAACATTTACTAAATATTATCATCGGTATAAGGGCATCATTCGTAAATATAGCTCAACATGCAGACTTCTTATACGTTCAGGTATTTCACATCCAATTTTTTATGGAAATATTCTTTATAAAGCACAAAAATGTCAGTATTCACCTCTGAAGCTAACAAAACCTTTAAATAGACTTATTAAGAAGGGATATAGTTACGATACTGTTGTCAGGTCATTAAAGATTGCATATTTTGGCGTTAATATTGATTCACTTATAAGGTCTTTGCATCGGCACTAAACACATTTATTTAAAAACCAGTTGTTGGCATGACACGGGTTATGTTCTTCTCATATATGTTATGATGGTATGATACTAAACCCCTAACGGGAAGGATTGTGCCTGATATTCATATGATGAAGACATAATCTTTCAATCAGTTTAATTGAAGTCTGGAGCTGGCATGTCAGTTAACTGCTAGTAGTCTGTTGTTATTTATGTATTATTGTCATTTTGTTTATTTTCTTTGGTTACATCTTCTGACATCAGACTCGGACTTCTCTTGAACTGAATTTTAATGTGCGTATTGTTATGCGTTTACTTTTCTACATTGGCTAGAGGTATAGGGGGAGGGTTGAGATCTCATAAACATGTTTAACCCCGCCGCATTTTTGCGCCTGTCCCAAGTCAGGAGCCTCTAGCCTTTGTTAGTCTTGTATTATTTTTAATTTTAGTTTCTTGTGTACAATTTGGAGTTTAGTATGGTGTTCATTATCACTGAACTAGTATATATATTTGTTTAGGGGCCAGCTGAAGGACGCCTCCGGGTGCGGGAATTTCTCGCTGCATTGAGGACCTGTTGGTGACCTTCTGCTGTTGTCTGTTCTATGGTCGGGTTGTTGTCTCTTTGACACATTCCCCATTTCCATTCTCAATTTTATTCAAAAAACTACAGGCCTTCAGATGAAAAAGTTATAAATTTATAATATTAGCTTTTTTATATATTCATGATATTAGTTCTGGCTACAGTACCATGATTACTTCGACTGTAAATTCAGAAATTAATGTGTGCATTTATGATTGTGAATCCTTTACTACTGGCAAAAATGGGAAATCTAAAAAATGTGATTGAATAAAAAATTATGAAGGAAAAACATGCAAAATCACTACTGAAATTATGATTATGAGGTTTTTATTTAATATTGCAAACCTGATACTGTGACATTTTCATTTTTAACATAAATAAAATCATCGCAATAATTTCTGAATTTTTAAAAGTATTTAAAAACGATTTAGTAAATGTGAGAGATCTATAGACATGATATATGTTAAGCATGCCAAAATTCAAATTTGATCAAATTTTTTTTTTCTAAATGATATGTTGCATTTTCATAAAATTGGTTTTCTCTCTGACAGTCATGTACATGCCAGTAAAGTAAAACAAATTGTAGAAACAGACGGAAAAATAAAATATATATATATATATATATATATGATTGTTAGATCCTATCATCATTTATAAGGAAACATACAGTGAATAATATTTCATGCATATTTAGGATGAGAACAAATTGAGCCATAAATCAACCACTTAGGTTCTGTGGGTTGACTAGGATGATGGCTGGGAAAAATGGACTGCTAGTTGAAAAGAGAGGGGTAGGAGGGGTGTCATCCTCAATTTTCAGAAAAATAAATGCTGAATACTGACTTTCTCCCAAAAAAGAGTTCTTTCCTGGAACCCCGAAAATTAGATCATTAATTCCTAAGTTCTGATAAGTGTAAATCCTGTATTCCTGCAAAAATTAAGGCCAAACCCTGACATCCAGATAAAAGGTCCTTCTGTCCCTCAAAAGAAGATGTTTGATAGGGCTTGAAATTTTACCTTGTAACAGGTCACCTCCAGGCCCTTTTAGAAAATAAGGCAGAAATTCATAAAGTCCTGCAGTGCACCCCATTATATTATGTTTATCTTCAAAGAAAATTACTTAGTATGCAAGTACATTGTGCATGTATGTTAATAGTCATGTCAATTCTGCCTAGTTTTCTAAACAATATGTATGCTTTCTCTTTTAAGAGAAATAAATAATTTCGTAAAAAGTGTTCATGAATCTTAATTGATGATGAATAGCATGAATAGCTGCAATTTCTGCACGAATATTTATTTATGTCCCTGAGAAAGGTGTTCACAAATTCTCCAAATGCAAGTTCTGCAATAGCAAGTGCAGTACAACATTATTTTGTAAATTAAAAAAAGATAACACTATAGAATTTGATTTGTAGTTTTGAGTGAAAAGTTTTCAATAACAATGGCTACACAAATAGATCTAGCATCCCAAAGACATATTACACAGTCAGGGATACTACTTGTACAAGTAATCTTTATTTACTTGAAGAAGTAACAATAATATACTTATATAAGTTAATTACAATGTTTGAATAATCTCCCCTTAATTTTCTCAAAAATTCACTTGTATAAGTAAATTTTGTTTACAATCCCACAAAAATTCTCAAATTTTGAGATGTAAAAACATGCCTTTAATGATTTTTCCCAGATTAGCTCATAATTTTTTATTAGAGTTCAATGTTTCATCTCATTAATTCAGCAAAGAAACTGATTGTGCAAAGATCTTAAGTATTTGCGCAAGGCCATCAAAAATTACTCCTTGGAGGCTTGTAAATGAGCAGTGTTCTGAAGATAACAGACAAATGAGATTTTCATTGTCCATGAAATTACACTTAAATGATTAGTTAAGACATCTGCAAAGGACAGACAATTTTAAATTCTATTAGAGCAAAGAAGTCCTAAGAATTCAAGAAAAGAAGATAGGATGACTTTTTCACTTATATAAGTAAAAAAATCTGAATGTCTAAGGGACATAACTTAGCCATTTTTTTTTTACCTATACAAGTAAATAAAATACACTTGTATAAGTATCCTACAAATTTACTTATATAAGTATATTGATATTACTTCTTCAAGTAAATAAAAATTACTTGTACAAGTAGTACCCCTGACTTAAAGACAATAATGTCTTAATACTGCAGTGTTTTATCTTTGCAGTGAAAAATAAAGGTAGTGACACTTTTTTCTGTATTCACTCAAGGTAGAAATTGAGTAATAATAAAAAATTATGCATCAGTTTTGTTTGACCTGTTCCTTGAAAAAAAATGGTTTCAGGGAAAATAATTTTAATACTGTCAGTGTTCTCCCCAGATATTGCATTTAGCATCCATGTAAACAGAGAAATTTGAAATACCATCTTGTTTCTAAAAATTATAGCATCACATCCATAACATATTCTGTAAGAAAACCAATTCAGATAGCATCTTATTACCATGATGTTAAAAGTCCCTGGGGAGAGCACTGACTGTGGATTTATTATTATTCAGGGGATACAAATTTTAATGTAATTTGTGGATAGAGGCAAACCATATATTTTAATGTTCAACAAAGTACAATTTTCTATAGGTTTGTATGCAGGCTCGCACAAACCACAAAATTTAATATCCACGAAAATAAAAGTTTTCCTCAATCCACAAAAATTGGTACCCATGAAAATAAATGAATCCACAGTATGTAGTAAAATCTCTTAGTCTGTCTTATTTTTATCTTTCCAAAATTGATAAAAATTCAAACTGATGACATATGGCAGTATGTTTCTTTAATTTTGATTTTTTTTATAAGATGTGAAAAATAAATAGTACAGACAGATAACATTGATTATGCCCCCGTAAGCAAAGGGGGCATTAAGTGTTACCCTTGACCGTACTTCTAATTTTCGTTTCCACAATCTAACTTGAATTTGCCTCATGCATATTCTATGAAACTCATACACAATGATGAGAACTAAAACCTGCAGATGTAGTTCGAATTTGGGCAGTGATTCACTTACCGTCTTAGAGTAATGTCCCTTTATAACTTGGAAAATTGCAATTTTTTTTGCTTCCGCACTCTAACTTAAATTTTCCTCATCCAAATTTTATGAAACTCACACACAATGCTAAGAACAACAACACACAGACAGAGTTTGAATTTGGGTAGTAAGTCATTTATATTTCTGGAGTTATGCCCCTTTTTAACTTGGAAAATTGCAAATTTTTAAGTTTCTGCACTCTTACTTTAGTTTTCCACATCCAAATGTTTTGAAACTCATACACAATAGCAACAACTACAACATGCAAACAGAGATTGAATTTGGGCAGTGAATCTTTTACTGTTCTAGAGTAATGCTCCTTTATAACTTTGAAAATTGCAAAGCTTGAGTGGGGCATTCGTGTCCTCAGACAAATTCTTCTTTTATTTGATGAAAAGTCAGATAATTATTCAACACAAAAAAAGATATCATTTGTTTTTTGTAGAACCAAAGGCCGAAAAACAGGAGGAAGATCTTGATGAAAAAGATGAAATGAAAGAAAATGAGAAACCGTATGTAAAACAGTCATACTGAAATAGAACTGTCATTTACTATGGAAAGATGAGTCTTTTAGTTTCTGTTGTTATTTATTCAATTTTTTTTAGAAAACTTGTTTCAGTTTAGAGCTTGACAAAAAGATTATTAGGATTTTGATTGGCTTTTTTTTTTTCTTTCATTTCAATTTTCTGCAGATGGTGTAATAATAAACTTATGTTGGTTTTAAATCTTTGAGATGCCCCATCTTAGGTAACATTTGCATTGTATTGTATTGATTTATATGGACAATATATATATATATATATAGATAAGTACGTCTAAACAAGTGACAACTCTATGACAGATCCATCCATTGGATCACCAGTTAATGTGATACATGGCTGATAAGACGTATTATATTTATAATTACTCTAAATATCAGCACAACAATGTTAAATCTTCAAATTTGCCGAAAGCAAATTTTTTTCTTCCCTTGCCGGGATTCGAACTCATGCTATTGAGATATCAAGACAACACCGCCTGCACTGTGTCCAGCGCTCTAGACCACGCAGCCACCTAGACTGATATATATAGAAGGAGACTAGACAAAAAAGGCCCTTGAAATTAAAAAAAACACAAAATGCGTTTTAAACTTTTATAAATCTAGTGGCTGCTTGGCCTTAAACCTTTTCCAATTTTCCAACTGCACATAATAGAAAAGAAAGGATTGGGGTATCAATCCAAGACACAAAATCAGTACATGCACAGCAAAAAACACACAAAAAGCAAAGGAACAGTGCTTTTATTGTTGTTTTTCATCTCAAAGTCACAGTTAGGCCTTCAGCATAGAGCAACATGTAATTTTTGAGGTGTAAATAGCAGCCATTATTTTTTCATTTTTCATTATGAACCTTAAATGATGTAATCAGTGCTTGACAAATGATTTTCTTAGATTTAAAAAAAAAAGGATACATGTAGAACTTTGAGAATATCTATCTCTACTGGGACTTCATTTTAAAGAAATAGAGTGAGTAAACAAATCTCCAAATATTCAAGATACACATCTGTGATTTAGATATTTTGAAAAATTCTGTTGAATTATGAATTGTAAATATTTGATGTGCACATTGTAAAAAAGAATTATGTTCAAATATTTTTTCCAGTTCAACACCCCCTCAGGAAACAAAACCAGACAGAAAAAGAACGCCCAAACCAGAAGATTTTGGAATAAGCAGCTATACCCTGAGGGCTATGGAGAGAGGATTTAATACAATACAACAAGACCCACAAATAAGGTTTGTATTGTCTTCTTCTTTAAAGACAACTTAGAATGATGTTGGAAATACATAAAAATGTTAAAAGGAACAACCAACAATTAATATGGAGTCAGCATCAAACAGACATTTTTCATCATGAAGACATTATTACTTTTGAAATTTAATGTTCATGGAAAGATGCAAAAAGACATTAAAAAACTAGCTATAGCTCAGACATGCACAAATTTTGTTTGAGACTTACAGTACTTAGTCAAAATATTTGGATAATGACAATGAGTTATCTCCCTTTATTTAGAACAAAACCAGACTTCCAAATATATACATGCTTTGTGTACATTATCTGTTCACTAAAATAAATAAATTTAAGGTACATGCATGCACCAGTTTTGAAACATAGCACCCATATTATTAGAGATAACACTTAGTTAGGTTTATACTATTAAACGAAATATGAGTAAGAACTTTATAATTTTTTTTCAAATGCAATCAAACACACATATCTATACACTCCCATGTAAAGGCTGCTGCAGTCTTTACAATTAACTACAAGCCCTTATGTCCCAGGCTTATAAAAAGGTTTATAACTCACTGTGAAAAAAAATTCAAAAGAAGGAGACCATTTTCTAATCAGCTAATACCATTAATTTTAATGTCAATTAAATGTTTTTTTTTTGTTTTTTTTAATTTTTCATAAAATGAGAAAAGGTCAACATTGAAAACAAAATCTGTAGTGCAAGACTATTTTTTTTTTCATTCAAACTACGAAATAATCATAATACTTATACTAACTGTATCAACTTGAACACAATAATTCATATAATATTGTGATTGTGATTTTTTTTATTTAAGAAAAAAACAAACACCTGTTAATTCCAAAATTGTGAAACTTTGATCTATGTGATTTAGCTATTTTTTTAATTTTAGATCAGTACCACATTCGGAAGCAAGAATACCTTCTTTATTCAACCAAGATGATTTTGTCTCTCTGACTCCCAGCGTATTTGGCAGGCATGTTCCTTTCCACACACCAGGAAAGTACCAAGGTAAAGTTCAATATAAGCAAATATCTGATTCAGTGAGTCATTCCACACTCCTCTGATTGTAACACCTGCATAATTAGATGTAATGATATTTTCCAGTTCTGATTTGAAAAAAAGAAAATAGTGTAAAATTATAATTTCTTCAGCTTTCCACCAATAAAAGTATGTATTTATTTTGGGGAAGGGCCTCGAAATGGTTGACAAACTGAGATGTACTGATAGTAATGCAACTTTATAGAAAATATCATTGTCTATCATAAGAAGTTCCTATTAAACTAACTTAAGCAAAAAACTGAACATAGAAAATTAGTCATTTATTGAAAGTCACTGGACCATGACCTTTGGGGGCAGGTCCTTGAAATAGTCTTCAAACTGATATGTACTGATAGTAATGCAACTTTATACAAATTATTGATCTATCACAAGTAGTTCCTGTCAAAATGACACAAGCAGAACACTAAACAATTGTTGACACTATGATGCTGGAAAAGCAACACCTATGTCTTGCCTTCTGTTACTTTCGTTGCAGGCAAGACAAAAACCAAGAAACAATACCATGTAACATGTTCGAAACACTTGATTATTTAATTTTTTTTCAGATGCTAGTCCATCTTTCCATGATTTCTTCACACCTGCAGACAAAAGATCAAATCGAGAACAGATTTATGGTTCTGACTTTCCTAAAGTTAATTTAAATAACAATATGAATATGGCCAGCCCAGAAGCTCCAGTATTTCAGACACCAGGAATAAAACATCTTGGACAAAAAGACCATTTTGAAAGGACAGGACCTGCCATTTCCACAATAAACAACTTAAATAGAGCACCAATGAATAGTCCTCAGTTACCTGTGTTTCAAAGTGAGAGTGCCAGAAAGCTTATGGTGAAAAGTAGTAAACCCCAGCCAGATGTGAAAACTAGTAGAGCAAAACTGTATGATGACCTCCCACAGACCCCAGAATTTACAGTGAACCTAAAAGTTAGTATTTCAATTCAAATCTAAAGATCACCTGTTATATGATCTAATCAATTCATGTCAGGAACCTTGTTGTACCCCACTTCAAGTATATTGGAACCATTTCATCTGTTTCCTGTTCCTCCAAAAAAATATTTTCATCACACTGTGCTCACAAACTTCTGAATAGAATGACTCCATATTTGGTCAACAGCTTAACAATGATGAGTTGTTATGTATGAGCTCTTTTTGGTTCTTTCAGATACCTTCTGCATCTTTGCTATTTCTTTGAATGATGAGCTGGGGTGTGCTTCAGAGTTCGCGGAACTTCACTTTTTTTTCTGTCAGACCAAGACCGTAATTGTTAGTGCCTTTTAAATTCATTCACAATTATTCTAGACTCTTCACAAAAAAGACCTAGTCACAAATTATAGAACTTGCCTATTGTTGAAGGTTGAATGTTGATCTTTAACTGTTATTGGGTTGCTGTCTCATTGAGGAAAAACCTACATCTACTTTATACATAATCAATGATTAAAGTCTTAACAGGTTGATTTTCCACCCTTTAGTGTGTGTGATAGAATAATTGATGGTGTACAATGTATATACTGCAAAAGCAGAAATTTTCGTAGGGATGTCAATTTCGTTTATTTTGTGGATAAATATTATCCATGAAGCTGAAAATATTATCTCCACAAAATCAAATTAAGAGAAAAAACATTGAAATTTTAACCCAGCAAAAACTATAGTTTCTACTAGTGTTGTCAATGGTTAACTGATTAACCAGTTAACCGTTGGAAGGACCGAATATCGAATACCAAAATCGATAAGCAGTTAATTGGACCTTTTTTCAATTTTAATAGTTTGGATATATAAATGTATATTGAAATCATAAAAAAAAAACAATAATCATCATGGTATTTATTGAGATCAATTATCCAGTACATTTTGTGACTTAATAAAGGATGTACTTGGGTCAGGTTTAGGAATTTTTGTCAGATGTCCGGACTCCTTGGTTTTTGTTGAGCCTGCGACTTTTGTCGCAGAAACCTTGACAAAGGGATAGTGATCCCTCGGTGGTGGCCTTAACTAACTTCTTAAAAGCTTAATATTTCAGAAGGTAGAAGACCTGGATGCTTCATACTCTGTATATAGATGCCTTATGATATGAAGTTTCTGTCTGTCATACGTCCATTGTCCTTGACCTCATTTTCTTGGTTCAGTGACTACTTGAAAAAAAAGTTAACATTTTTTGTAATGTTAATTTCTCTCTTATTATGAGTAATATGATAACTATATTTGGTATGTGCGTTTTGGTCTGATTTTCTAATACTGTATGCAATAGGTCAACTATATTTGGTGTATGGAAATATTTTACGATGTACATGTCAGTCTGGCAGGTTTTTTTTACCTTGACCTCCTTTTCACGGTTCATTGCTCAATGTTAAGTTTTTGTGTTTTGGTCTGTTTTTGTAATACTGTATGCAGTAGGTCAACTATATTTAGACATAGGTATGCTGTTTCCGGCGTCGGCGTCGTTGGCATCAACAATGTATTAGATTGTGATTAGGTCTAGTTCATGGTGAACCACTAGTGGTAGGTCAATGATATTTGGTATGCAGTTGTATTAGCATTGGCACATCTTATAACCCTGGAGATTATTTGGCCCCGCCCCCTTAGTCAAGGTCTATTGACTTTGAAACTTTGCTTAGTTTACATTTATTAGTTTGTGATTATGTCAGTTTATGGGGAACCACTAGTGGTAGGTCAATGATATTTGGTATGAAGTTGTATAAGCATTGGCATATCTCATTTCCATGGAGACTATTTGGCCCCACCCCCTCATTCATGGTCTATTGACTTTGAAACTTTTGCTTAGTTTTCATGTATTAGTTTGTGATTAGGTCAGTATAAGGGGAACTGTTAGTGGTAGGTCAGTGATAATTGGTATGCAGTTGTATAAGCATTAGCACATCTCATTACCATGGAGAATATTTGGTCCTTACCCCTCAGTCATGGTCTATTGACTTTGAAACTTTTGCTTAGTTTACATGTATAAGTTAGTGATAAGGTCAGTTTAAGTTGAAACACTTATGTTAAGTCAATGATATTCGGTATGCAAATGTATTGGCATTTGCAAGTTTCATTTCCATGGAGATTATAAAACCCCACCCCCTTATTATGGTTCATTGACTTTGAAACTTTTACATAGTTAACAAGTTAATGTTTGTGTTTAGGTTTGTTTAAAGGGAACAACTTATGAAAAGTCAATAGTATTTGGTTTGCAGTTGTATTAGCATTGGCACATCTCATTTCCATGGAAATTGTTTAGCCCTGTACCTTCAGTCATGGTTCATTGACTTTGAATATTTGCATAACTTACATGTTAAAGTATTGCTATTTTAATTTCAACATTTGCATTATCAAAATAACAAATAGGCGAGACATATCTCTGTGTTAACAGTTTATCTAATACTGTATACAGTAGGTCAACTATATTTGGTGTATGGAAATATTTTATGATGTACATGTCAGTCTGGCAGGTTTTATTTGACCTAGACCTCATTTTCACGGTTCATTGGTTAATGTTAAGTTTTTGTGTTTTGGTCTGTTTTTCTAATACTGTATGCAGTAGGTCAACTATATTTGGTGTATGGAAATATTTTACGATGTACATGTCAATCTGGCATTATCTACCTTCTTAAAAGCTTTATATTTTAGAAGATAGAAGACCTGGATGCTTCATATTTTGTATATATATAGATGCTTTATGTTACAAAGTTTCCGTCTGTCATATGTCCATTGTCCTTGACCTCATTTTCATGGTTCAGTGACTACTTGAAAAAAAAAGTCAACTTTTTTTGTAATGTTAATTTCTTTCTTATTATGAGTAATAGGATAACTATATTTAGTATGTGCGTACCTTGCAAGGTCCTCATGCCCGTCAGACAATTTTCATTTGACCCCGACCTCATTTCATGGATCAGTGAACAAGGTTAAGTTTTCGTGGTCAAGTCCATATATCAGATGCTATAAGCAGTAGGTCTACTATATTTGGTATATGGAATGATTGTAAGGTGTACATGTCCAACTGGTAGGTGTCATCTGACCTTGACCTCATTTTCATGGTTCAGTGGTCAAAGTTAAGTTTTGAGTTTTGGTCTTTTTTTCTAATACTAGGTATGCAATAGGTCAACTATAAATGGTGTATGGAAATATTTTATGATGTACATGTCAGTCTCACAGGTTTTATTTGACCTTGACCTCATTTTCACTGTTCATTTCTCAGTGTTAAGTTTTTGTGTTTTGGTCTGTTTTTCTGCAACTATAAGCAATAGATCAACTATATTTGATGTATGGAAGGATTGTAAGGTATACATGTCAGTCTGGCAGGTATCATCTGACCTTGACCTCATTTTCATGGTTCATTGGTCAATGTTAAGTTTTCATGGTTAAGTTTGTTTCTTGGATACTATAAGCAATAGGTCAACTATATTTAATGCCTAAATTGATTGTAAGGTGTACATGTCTGTCTGGCATGGTTCATCTTACCTTGACCTAATTTTCATGGTTCATTGGTCAATGTTAAGTTTTAATGTTTAAGACTGATTTTTAGAAACAATAAGCAATAGGTCAACTATGTTTGGTTTATTGAATGATTGTAAGGTGTACATGTATTTTTCGTTTGGTTTATCTGACCTTGACCTCATTTTCTTGGATCATGTTAAGTTTATGTGTTATTTGTAGTAAAGCTTTGTATTTAGGACTATCAACATAAAATCAATGGTTAGTAAAGAAGGCGAGTTATTTCAGCGTGTGCACTCTTGTTCTAATACTGTATGCAGTAGGTCAACTATATTTGGTGTATGGAAATATTTAAGGATGTACATTTCAGTCTGGCAGGTTTTATTTGACCTTGACCTCATTTTCACGGTTCATTGCTTATGTTAAGTTTTTTGTGTTTTGGTCTTAAACTTTAAGCAATAGGTCAACTATATTTGGTGTATGGAATGATTGTAAGGTGTTTATGTCTGTCTGGCAGGTATCATCTGACCTTCACTTCATTTTCATGGTTGATTGGTCGATGTTCAGTTTTCCTGGTTAACTTTTTTCTTAGATACCTTAAGCAATAGGTCAACTATATTTAATGCATGAAATGATTTTAAGGTGTACTAGTTCAAACAACGTGGTTCTGACGATTATTAGTTTAAAACCTTTTCAAATTTGTCATCAAATCATATTTATTAACGTATTTCTTATAATTTCAATCTTTTAGACTAAATTAATTAGATGCAACCCGCTGAATGTAAGAAAATAACTTTGAATACCCTTTAGCGTACCCCGGTATTTAACACGATGTACAGTGTTTTTAAATATAATACTGAATATCATACAAATTCGAATTCATTTATAAATATTCTTATTTGAAGAATTATTTTAAAATCTAAGGATACTTTTTTAAAACTGAATGCTCATTTACAATAATATCTACAAAGTGTAATTAAATAGGATGTTGTTCCATACACGCTTTCATGTTTGACCTCGTTTATCTGATCACCTTTATCACCTGTTTATGTTCATTGTTATGCATCATCAATTCTATTGATTAAGACAAGCTAAGGTCTCTCATCAAAGGTAATGACCTGTAATCAGTGAATGATTTATGGCTTCAATATTACTTATTGAAGGGATAATTGTTTGACAGCTTGTTGTTTTTTAAATAAAAGAACAAATGTTTTTTTCTACTTTTTATTGATGTACCAAGCCGTGCATTTGTGTACCCAGATGATTAGACTAACTGAGACACTTCAAAGTATGAAATATGCTGCATCTGTTTAATTAAACCCAAATATGACCGAAATATCTTTGTGAAATAGATTGCCACAATTATAAACTATAATGCCCAAACGGACATTTTTACCGATCGATAGTTGGTAAAAAAAGTGAAATTACCGTTTTATGAAAATGCCTTGAATAACAAAAGTGGCAAACCTATGATATTTGACCGTTTGAGGCTGAGAGCAGCCAGACTTTTTATATAAATTTCGGTCAAGTCCAGAATATATGACCGTTTTGGAAGCCATGGACTACATGTCTGTCTGGCAGGGTTCATCTGACCTTGACTTCATTTTCATGGTTCATTGGTCAGTATAGAGTTTCCATGGTTTGGTCTGTTTCTTTTATACTATAAGCAATAGGTCACAAGGTGAACTATATTCTGTGTATGAAATGATTGTATTAAAGGTGTACATGTATTTCCGGTTTGGTTTATATGACCTTGACCTCATTTTCTTGGATCATAAATGTTAATGCGATACTTGTAGTAAAACTTTATATGTAGGACTTTCAACATAAAATCAATGGTCAGTATAGTAGGCGAGACATTTCAGCGTGTGCACTCTTGTTTTCCTACATTACAGGGTAAAACATTTTGCCCCATATCACCCACTTTTCTTTTCATATAAGATTTCAATATGTTCAATAGCTCTTAAAAGATTATTTACCAAAATTAAAACAGATTCTAGATTTCTTTTCTTTCGATTTGAGACCCAAATAATACCAATGCAAATATAAGGTAAAAGTCTGAGTCAGCCTTTTCCCGCCATTTTTTAAAAATCAAATATCTCGAAAAGGAGCTCCATAACCTATCAATATGTTTAGCTTATTTTGTTCCTTAACTAATGCTCTTCTGACTTATAGTATCAATATTAAATTTTAGATTTTTTTTATTTCACCTAAGTACATCCTTAACAGTGAATACATTCCAATTTTACAGAAATTAATTAGCACGAAGACACTTTCAGCTTGGGACGAAATCTAAAGTAAACATAATGTGTATAGGTGTGTAAAAACATACATCTTACACTTGTAAGCTGATCTAATTTTAGGATTTAGTTGTTCATTTCATTTTAACTTAATATTGAGTAAATGTAAAAATCCAAATCATCCCCATCCAAGGCTTGACCATATTTCAATCGAAATGCTGATTAAAAAACTGTGAAATGCAAACTTAGTTTATACTGGTAGTTCTAGTACTACATGTACTATGCAGACAAGAACTATATAGAATGTTTGAGGAAAAGGTATACAAGGATAAACTTAAGTACACCATATTAAATAAGCATACACCTTGATAAATCGTAATGTCCAGTGGAAAATATTTCATGCATGTTCGGGATGGAAACAATTAACAATTAATCAATAGGCAGGTCCTGTAATAGTGGTCGACCAACTTGGAGTGTCAGACATTTTAAATGCTGCTGGAAAATGAGGATGTATTTAAAAGTTATAGAAATTAAGCATTGTTATAACAGGTCACCTATAGATCATTAAAGAGATGCTGCAAGGGTTATTAACATGCAATAATTGCAAAACTTTCTCTACACGAGGCATCAGATTTAATATCCCCATTCTGATTAGACGTGGCTTCGAATTCATACATCCAACACAGCCAAAAGGACACCCCACTGTGGAAACTGTTTTACTACCAGTCGGAAGAAGACTAAAAATGCCAAGTATTCTTTACCCCAGTCACCCTTAAGGTACATTCTCTTTGAACATTAACTTTCATATCGGTTGACCGGTTAATTGGTTGAAAGATTATCCAGGTAACTGGTTAGTTAAAATGTTCAATATGACAACACTAGTTTCTACAGTATACATGACAAGAAAAACAAAAGTAGCTTCTAATATTTAATTTTTTGTTGTATTAAAACATATGAACTGAATGAACATCATTAGAACGAATGACTGTAATGTTGAATTTTGATTAATATCAAAATTAGGAGATGGGGTATGATTGCAAAATGAGACAACACCAAAGACAAAAGGACAAGGTACACAAAGGGATTACAGAAGTGAAGAAATTTGTTTCCTTCCTGTAGTATACCTATGCTAAAGAGGGACATACCTTTTTCTCTGTTGAATGTAAATAACAAAGCCGTGTACAGCCTGAGTGATGATATTAAATCTGATGCCTCATGTAAGAGTGTCATGCTCTCTGCAAGTAAAAGAACCCTAGAAACAACTCTTTTTTGGAACATCGGTGGCTCTATGCATTGCAAAATTTCTACCCTATTCAACATATGTTATGTTACTCTCATATTTCAGTGACATTTCATGCAGTCAACTATAAAAAAATACAACTTATACACATTCAATCAATAAATGAAAGAATAAGGATGTAAACAAAATAAATATTTTCTATAGCTTTTATAATTTTTAACTTGTAAATCAACTTAAATTTGGTTTTTTTCTGTTCTCTTCTGCATGGATACCTAATATTTTTCAGAGTATTACTGATACAGATATTGACATGCCTAAAGAATTCAAGCCATTAGCAGAGAGATTAGGACATGATGTAACCAGCAACATCACGCCACCTATGCCAGAGATGTTTTCTGACAAACATTCTAAACTTAATAGTGAATGTAAACAACAGATCAGAGACTTGAGTAAAACACCACCGGCTCCAAAATTTTTATCATCATATGCAAATAATCTAGTCTATAAAAAATAGATTTGAAAAAAATGGCTGAAATATTGTAGATTTTCTTAAAATATAATAAATATTGATATCTAACAAAATTTTCCAGCCATGCCATAAATTTAGAAAATTTTACATGATATTAAAGCAAGATGTAGGTTTTAATGGGAAGTTTATCTTTGTTTATATAACTATATCATTTTGTCTGTGTAAAGCTGATTTAGATAAATGGAGAATGTGTCTATAGGCCACAAATGCCCCGCTTGTAAATATGCATGAGTCAACTTCAACATACAGATGCAGGATTCACGTAGTTAAGACAGTTTTGTGATTATAGTTAGAGAACAGAAACGACAGATTTAGCAATTTAATCATGTATAAAGGGACATTACTCAAGAACGGTGAAAGTGACACCACCCAATTTCAAACTTGATCTGTGTTTTGTGGTAATAAGCATTGTGTATAAGTTTTATAACATTTGGTTGAGGCAAACTAAAGTTAGGGAATGGAAACCAATTTTCGGAAGGACAAGGGTAACACTTGATGCCCCACTCAGCTACGGCGTGGGCATAAAAAAATGACTATGAGAAGGAAGAAAAAAGAAGGCAGCATCCCATCCCATAAATCAATTAAATAAAAATAAAAGGGCAAACATCAGTAAATGCCAATTAGAAAACACATTACATGTACATCATATTAATATTTTGGTGAAAGAAGTTAATCCACTTGATCTCATTGTCTTATTCCTTTCATATATGTATATTCATAAATGACTTGTAGATATATGACAATGAGACAAAAACCCAAAGACAAAGATAACATCTAGGGGGCAAAATACAGAATCAATGAACTGAACAAAGAAGTACAGTCAATTGTTGAAAAGTATTATTATTTTGACTCTGCAAGATTTTAAATCTTATATTTGTTAACATTTGCATTCGTGGAGAATACTTGTATCAAATCAGGAATGTAACAGTTGGTTTTTATTAGATAAATTTTTGACGTCATTGTCGGCAAGTTCATAAAAAGGATGTTAATTAGAGAAGCCAAAAATTGGCATTAATTCGAGAACAAAAATAAAAGACGTCAATAAGAGAGGCATAGAATTACCCATTGACTTGGAATTTTATTTTATTATGACATCAGATTTGGACGTTGATTTGAGGAACAGACATCGATTAGAGACCAGACCTTAGTCTTACATATATTTACAAAGAACAGCCTAATTGACAATTGTTTTGTGAACCCCTTAAACACAGAGTAATAACCAGTCAGGGGACTTATTGAAATAAGTGATTTTTAAATCACTTATTTAAGTAGCAAATTCGAAGTTTTGTCACAAATTGTGATTTTGTAGTTTTACTAAAATTTTAAACACATAGGGTTAGATAATATCTTTTCATTAGTAAAATTGAAAAAAATGAACTTTTTGCTTCTTTTAAGCAGCAAGGTTTATGCCTTTGATGCAATCATTTAGCTGCAAATTCTGTTTTAGTTGAAAAAATGCTATAAAAATGGCTTTACATAATGAACTGATACTTTCCCAACAGTGGGAGTATTTTTCCTGTAAAAATCAAGGTTTCATCTTATAGATTATGTAATAAAATTCTACTGTTCGCGATCAAAATTTCACTGTTCGGGGGTGTTGAAATTAGTGGGGGTTATTAAAATAATGACACTTAAAGAAGTGATTTTTTGGAAGGAAATTGAGGTATGATACTTAAACAAGTGATTTTTATGTCATTATCCTAGATTTAGTACAAGGTCATCCTATCAACACAGATGTTGGTTCTGATAATTTTAGCAACATAATTAGTCCCTGGATCATTAGTATTCTATATTTAAAGCTACAATAAAATTAAATCACTTAGTCTAGTGATTAATTTGTACTACTTAAATAGGTGATTTTTAAAGAAAGACAACTCTTATTCCAACCTTTATGGACATAATGTTACTTGAATCAGTGATTTAGAAAATCACTCATTTAAGTAAGTCCCCTGACTGATAACCCAAAACAGCATGTTACTGGTGTAACCAGTAGTTCTATTTGAAGACTAATTTTTCAACGTTTGAATTCATTGCCTAGTATTCAAGTTATAGAATTTTTGTGAACTTGGTCAAATGTTAGATAGATTGTTGCTTAACAGTGGTCAATGTAAGAGTTACTTATCATATTTTTGAAACTTTTTGCCTTAAGTGTACCTGATGGCAGGTTATTCGACAAACAAGTGCCAAAAGAGAGGCGAAAGATACAAAAGGGACATTCAAACTCATAAATAGGAAACAAACTGACAATGTCAATGCAGATAACAAAAAACAACCAGAAGACTGAACAACAAAAATTGAGGGTGATCTCAGGTGCTCCAAATGGGTAAGCAGATCCTGCTCCACATGTGGCACCTGTCTTGTTGCCATGAATGTATAAAACAGCTGATCAGTCTAATTTGGTGGGTCATATTAGAGGAAAAGAGAACAGGATTGTGGTTGCAACATACAAATCATACATTTATTTTTCGAAGATGAAGCAAATTGTAACAAACCATAGTGTAAATTCTTTATTAAATGAAATAAAAACACAATTTCCAGTGTAAAAATCTTATCCAAAATGTTTTTTAACATAAAAAATAACAAAGAGATAAATGTGTCCACATATTTTTTAATGATTAATTGTTAAGTATAGAACAAAAAACTAATTATGGAATAATTAAGCTAAAAAATATTTTCATTTTGATTGGATAAGTTTTGAGCTAGACATAAACCATCTTGAAAGACAAAAATAATAGCATCTTCTTTAAATTTGAAATGCAGATAAAAAAAATTCAATAACTTTGAAAATACCACTATAACTGGCAATTTACACAAAAAATCTTCAACAATTCCAGCAGAAATTATTTAGGTAAAGACAAGAAATAACACAGTCTTAAATTAAACAAATTTTGTAATGGAAATCTACAAATAAACAGCGAATTCTTGTACTGAATCAAAAGAACCATGATTGTTTTTTCAGGAAATTTAATGTACATGAAACTTTTAAAATGGCCTTTCTTGTGCATATGAACAGAATTTCTATTCTATTGTCTGCCTTCATGTGTTATCATAGAAACAAATAACTAAATGAAAAATCCAACAAATAAATATATTATGCATTTGTTTAAAAAAATATCTTTTGGCACTCCCCACAGCAGAATAACAATATGAAGTATTAAAGCACTATCACTAATAAATGTTTTATTCTATCGTATTTAAAGATAATTTACATATCTTTTTGGGCATTTGCTTTACCATGTTTACCAATTACTAGACATGAAAACCTATCAGAAAATATTAATTGTGTATTTTGAATTAATACATGTGATAAAAAGCATGTACATGTGTATATCTAAAATAAATTTATCAAAACTGGTGACATATAGAGAAAAAAATTGTAATTTAACTTATTTTCTATTTTGCCCTCACTAGATTTTTATTCAAAATTCCCAAGAAGGGGAATGTTGTACATAGTATTGTGAAAGCAGCTCACTTTAAATATGTCACAAAATGAAAAAAGCTAAACGTGGAATGTACTAATGAGAACGATGGGATTTCTTGCCAAATTAATCAGCATAACAAACATTTGGTCATACCAGTATGATTTATATGCTCCCCCCCAAAAAAAACAAAAAAGCTTTTATAAAAGACTGAAGAAACTTCAGTTAATGCTGACTCAATAAAATACCCTCCCAAAATATTTTGAACTAGCCTTTTTTTTTTGCATTCTAAATGGAAGTGTACCTATTTCACTTATTATACAGGTCCAACAGGGATTCTGTATCCTTCTAATGTGAAATTTTATAATTTGAAACAATTTGCAATAAATAGGTTACATGTGCTGTGCATTTGCTTAGAAGACTAAAAAATATCTGCAAAGAAGAAAATTTACACTTGTTTTTCCATACCTCAATATAAAAATACCAGTAAATTCACAAAAGCACTTATTAATTACTGGACTCATATCCAAGACAGCAAGTACAAAAATATAACACAGGATTCCTTAACAAAAAGTTAAATATAAAATTTTCAGTATAACAAATTGAACACATCTATAAATAAAAATGCCAGTCATACTAATGAAGAAACGATGTTAGTCTATTACAACGTGTACAAGAACCTATTGATTGTCCCACATGAAACATGGATTTCCCTTTCCAGACTGTTCTTTTGCTAAGTTTATTTTCTGCATGTTTCAAAGTTTTCTGCAAACCAATCACAGGACTCCTTCACAGCTGAAAGAAAAGAGAACACAAATGAATGAATGGCTACTCTTTATGTTACACAAACAGTTTAGTTAATTTAATACTATCGTATGTGATTTTGTTTTGAATTGCATAGTATTTGTTTTTCTGCAGCATTGTAGAAATTTTCAAAGACATAAGTTTGAAACAATACAGTGCCCTCAAGATGCCAAACTTAGTGTAATTTTTTGTCTGATCGCATGCAAATCAATTCTTTTTATATATTTTTTTTTTAATTTTTGCAATCTCCATGCCGCAGACATGTAATCTGTTATCTTCCCATAAAACCTTTGCAATCATGTAATCTTCCCATAAGACCTTTGCAATCATGTAATCTTCCCATAAAACCTTTGCAATCATGTAATCTTCCCATAAGACCTTTGCAATCATGTAATCTTCCCATAAAACATTTGCAATCATGTAATCTTCCCATAAGACCTTTGCAATCATGTAATCTTCCCATAAGACCTTTGCAATCATGTAATCTTCCCATAAGACCTTTGCAATTATGTAATCTTCCCATAAAACCTTTGCAATCATGTAATCTTCCCATAAGACCTTTGCAATCATGTAATCTTCCCATAAGACCTTTGCAATCATGTAATCTTCCCATAAGACCTTTGCAATCATGTAATCTTCCCATAAGACCTTTGCAATCATGTAATCTTCCAATAAGACCTTTGCAATCATGTAATCTTCCCATAAGACCTTTGCAATCATGTAATCTTCCAATAAGACCTTTGCAATCATGTAATCTTCCCATAAGACCTTTGCAATCATTTTACTGGAATTCAGATGAATCAAGGCTGGATAAAACATGGAAAAAGTACAGGACAATTTTGTAGAGACTTAATTTTTAGCACATACTGAATTTCAATACATGCAAGCAGTAAAAGAGAGGCGAAAGATACCAAAGGGACATTTAAACTCATAAGTCGAATATAAACTGACAAGGCCATGGCAAAAAACCAAAAAGACCAAAAGACAAACAACATTATACAAAACACAACACTGGAGGCTCTCAAGAGCCTGTGTCGCTCACCTGTATTTACTGATGCTTTGGAAATCATGTAAAATAAGGTTAAAATCATAATTAATAGTATCAGATATTAGATATTATAATGATATCTAAGATAATAACAAACTAGAGGCTCTAAAGAGCCTGTGTCGCTCACCTTGGTATATGTGCATATTAAACAAAGGACAAAGATGGATTCATGACAAAATTGTGTTTTGGTGATGGTGATGTGTTTGTAGATCTTACTTTACTGAACATTCTTGCTGCTTACAATTATCTCTATCTATAATGAACTTGGCCCAGTAGTTACAGTGGAAAATATTTTGTAAAAATTTACAAAAATTTACAAAATTTATGAAAAAATTGTAAAAAATTGACTATAAAGGGCAATAACTCCTTAAGGGGTCAATTGACAATTTTGGTCATGTTGACTTATTTGTAGATCTTACTTTGCTGTACATTATTGCTGTTTACAGTTTATCTCTATCTATAATAATATTCAAGATAAGCTGCAAAATTTTCTTAAAATTACCAATTCAGGGGCAGCAACCCAACAACGTGTTGCCTGATTGGTCTGAAAATTTCAGGGCAGATAGATCTTGACCTGATAATCAGTTTTACCCATGTCAGATTTACTCTAAATGCTTTGGTTTCAGAGATATAAGCCAAAATCTACATTTTACCCCTATGTTCTATTTTTAGCCATGTCGGCCATCTTGGTTCGCGGGCGGGGTCATCGGACACATTTTTTACCCTAATGATGATTGTGTAAAAGTTTGGTTAAATTTGTCTTAGTAGTTTCAGAGGAGAAGATTTTTGTAAAAGATTACAAAAATTTACGAAAAATGGTTAAAAATTGACTATAAAGGGCAATAACTCCTTAAGGGGTCAACTGACCATTTTGGTCAAGATGACTTAATTGTAGATCTTACTTTGTTGAACATTATTGCTGTTTTCAGTATATCTCTATCTATAATAATATTCAAGATAATAACCAAAAACAACAAAATTTCATTAAAATTACCAATTCAGGGGCAGCAACCAAACAACGATTTTCCTGATTGGTCTGAAAATTTCAGGGCAGATAGATCTTGACCTGATAAACAATTTTACCCCATGTCAGATTTACTCTAAATGCTTTGGTTTCAGAGATATGAGCCAAAAACTGCATTTTACCCTATGTACTATTTTTTAGCCATGTCGGCCATCTTGGTTCGCAGGCGGGGTCATCGGACACATTTTTTAAACTATATACCCTAATGATGATTGTGGACAAGTTTGGTTAAATTTGTCTAAGTAGTTTCAGAGGAGAAGATTTTTGTAAAAGATTACAAAAATTTACGAAAAATGGTTAAAAATTGATTATAAAGGGCAATAACTCCTTAAGGGGTCAACTGACCATTTTGGTCAAGTTGACTTAATTGTGGATCTTACTCTGCTGAACATTATTGCTGTTTACAGTTTATCTCTATCTATAATAATATTCAAGATAATAACCAAAAGCTGCAAAATTTTCTTAAAATTACCAATTCAGGGGCAGCAACCCAACAACGTGTTGCCTGATTGGTCTGAAAATTTCAGGGCAGATAGATCTTGACCTGATAAACAATTTTACCCCATGTCAGATTTACTCTAAATGCTTTGGTTTCAGAGATATAAGCCAAAATCTACATTTTACCCCTATGTTCTATTTTTAGCCATGGCAGCCATCTTGGTTGGTTGACCGGATCACAGGACACATTTTTTAAACTAGATACCCCAATGATGATTGTGACCAAGTTTGGGTGCATTTGGCCCAGTAGTTTCAGAGGAGAAGATTTTTGTAAAAGTTTACGGACGACGGACGACGGACGCAGGACGACGGACGCAAAGTGATGAGAAAAGCTCACTTGACCTTTCAGGTCAGGTGAGCTAAAAACTGCAAAATTTTTGTAAAATTACTAACTCAGGGGCAGCAACCCAACAACGGGTTGTTGGATTCGTCTGAAAATTTCAGGGCAGATAAATCTAAATCTGATGAACATTTTTGCCACCTGTCAGAAAAAAGTAAAATCACAAAAATACTGAACTCCGAGGAAAATTCAATCGGAAAGTCCCTAATCACATGGCAAAATCAAATGACAAAACACATCAAACGAATGGACAACAACTGTCATATTCCTGACTTGGTACAGGCATTTTCAAATGTAGAAAATGGTGGATTGAACCTGGTTTTATAGCGCTAAACCTCTCAGATTTGCTCTAAATGCTTTAGTTTCAGAGATATAAACCAAAAACTGCATTTTACCCCTATGTTCTATTTTTAACCAAGTCGGCCATGATGGTTGGAAGGCGGGGTCATCAGACAAATTTTTTAAACTAGATACCCTAATAATGATTTTGGCCAAGTATGGTTAAATTTGTCTCAGTAGTTTCAGAGAAGAAGATTACAAAAATTTACAAAAAATTGTTAAAAATTGAGTACTAAGGGCAATAACTCCTAAAGGGGTCGACTGACAATTTTGGTCATGACAACTTATTTGTAGATCTTACTTTGCTGAACATTATTGCTGTTTACAGTTTATCTCTATCTATAATAATATTCAAAATAATAACCAAAAACTGCAAAATTTTCTTAAAATTACCAATTTAGTGACAGCAACCCAACAACAGGTTCTCCGATTCATCTGAAAATTTCAGGGCAGATAGATCTTGACCTGATAAACAATTTTACCCCAAGTCAGATTTGCTTTAAATGCTTTGGTTTCAGAGATATAAGCCAAAATCTACATTTTACCCCCATGTTCTATTTTTAGCCATGGCATCCATCTTGGTTGGTTGACCAGATCACCGGACACATTTTTTAAAAAAGATACCCCAATGATGATTGTGACCAAGTTTGGTTAAATTTGACCCAGTAGTTTCAGAGGAGAAGATTTTTGTAAAAGTTAACAGATGACGCCGGACGACAACGACGGACGCAAAGTGATGAGAAAAGCTCACTTGGCCCTTTGGGCCAGGTGAGCTAATAAAAAACTAAAGACTGAGCAACACAGACCCCACCAAACACCATGGATCATCTCAGGTGCTCCTGAACTTTAAGTCAATCAGATTTACTGTATTACCTTGATCAAATGGAACAAATTTGAAGTCAGATCGGTATTTCCTCAGTTTGCCATTGCTGGCAGTTTTCTTGAACTGTCCATCAGATTTAGATGTGTCATAAACAACCTCTCCCTTGAAATCCATGGCCTTAATTACAGCTTCTGCTGCCTCTTTTATACTGACCTCATCTTCCTCCCCAACTGTAAACAAAAATTTCATAACTATATGAAGCATGTAATAACATGAACCACCCAAACAGAGGTTTTACCATAATGCAACATCGTGTACAAATTTGCTGTTTCAGACCACTATTGCATTCTTGGAAATATTGTGAAATGCATACACCAATAAAATGTGGTAGGCTCACAATGTTGTAAACAATGAAAATTCAACCACAATTTTTCAAAACAAACAATTAAATAACCCATTATCCATCTTAAGATTATGAACTGGTAAGTTGATCCATTTCTATTTTTGCATTTCATAAATGCTTGCAGCTTTAATATAGTTATTAACAAATATAATGGTATCAAAACCATGTCAGGTTCACACCATACCCAGTTTGTCTATGTACAATTAAGTGTGGATTCATAATCATCATGATACTAGGGTACAGATTTTAGTAAATTTCATGTGTAGGGGAAAACAGCAAATTTAAAATCAAAGAAAATAAACATATTTAGATATTTTGATAGGAGCAAATGAGGAAACAACAAAACTACAAATTCTTAAAAAATAATGTGTTGTCCAACAGCCAAAATTAATACCAACATAATCCACCTTACTTTTAATTTGGGACAATTAAAGAATAAACTTAGTAGTAAATACTCCAGAATGATGTCGAATTTAACATCATCATGGTTGAAATAATTACCTGATAAAATAATTGGATCAATTTCTTGATAATTTCTAAGAACCCAGATCATCAGTCTTGCTAAATCTCTGGAGTAAATAAACTGTCTCCTTGGAGATCCTGTCCCCCATACAGTAAAGGGTGTGTTGTTCTCTGGAAAACATATTTTCATGAATTTACATAATTTTCTATATCATTGTAGTGTTAAAAACTGCTGAGAAGAGCCTACTTACATGTGTAAGTGCCAATCTGCCTAAGAATCAGGTAGTGGTGAAAATATGACGAACAAAAACGCACTCATGTTTACATTAATTATATGTTCAAATTGTATAATGGTGCATGAATATAACATTTGTTTCCTTTTCCTGTTCTGGTAATTCAAAATATAATTTGGTTGAAACGGACTAGAAATTAACAATTAAAGGGAGCTAACTCAGTAATTTGCTATCATTCTAACCAAAAGTTATCTAGAGATTTCTTGAATTACAAAACACACAGAAATGAAGGAGCTACAATTTCTAACTCAGGATGAGGTTAACTTCAGAATGGGATGGTTAGGTCGGTGGGTTTTTTCTGCCATGTTTTGATTTTTTTCAAAATTGCCTGATTCTTACAAAGACTGGCTCTTAAGAAGGTACATGCTTATAGACCCAACCAGATCAGAGCTTTCTCGTAAGAATAAATCTATGATCCCTTAACTGGACTAGCTCCTACAATGCAGACAACTAAAAAGTCCAAAAAACTTCTATGTTGACTGGTTAATAAATTCAGAAAAATGTATTTTATCTGTATAAAAAATTATCCATATATAAAATTTATTTTTACTGGAAGAATGATATATCAACAATGGCTCTACTGGAAAATATATAATGCCAAGGAAAGCACAACTTTAACGTGTGCATGAGGTTTATGATTTTTAAAAAATTTGGCCTTGAGAATCAGATGACAATAATTGTAGAAAATGCATTCGGTGCAGTAAAATTGATACTGTTAATGTTTTTAGTTGCCTATGAACTATAAAAAATATAGTCCTAAAGGGAACAATGTAAATTTTTCAGATGAAGAACAGCAATAAAAGGACTGTAGGAACAGTCAAATGCAAGAAGAATAAATATTTATCATAGATATTTGAAATATAACCAAATAAACAAACTTAGACATACTTTTAGCCATATAAATCTTATGAATCAATCCTGGCAGCACATGACCATCTTCCAAGTTAAAGTTGTCATGTGGTCCATAGACATTGGTCGGGACTACTGAAGTAAACTGACAACCATGCTGTTTGTTGTAAGCTCTGAAAATAAAAGAAGACAAGGAGGTCCTTTAATTCTGTTTTATTATTTATTTTTCTAAGTCATTTTCTCTATTCCTAATAAATTTTGTCCATTATTCTCTATTCCTTAATTTTTTGGCCTATTGTTATTCTTTATTTTGTTGGCCCATTATTTTCTAATCTGTAAACCCCAACCAGACCCTCATATGCATGGTACTGTAAATTCAGAAATTATTGCGAGATTTTTATTAATGCAAATAATGCGACTGAATTAGTATCGCATTCACAAAAACTCGCATTCTGATATCGGATCCATATAACTGTATGCAGGTTTTCCTGAAATCGCAATAATTAATTTCGCATTTTAGTCCTTTCTTCAAAATTCGCAATAATAAATGCACGCAATAATTTCTGAATTTACAGTAGTTAAGTTTTATTCCTTTAAATCGAAAAAAACATTTATAATGAGGTAATTTTGATTATCTGTAGTCCATTTGATGGACCTTTCTGAATAACAATTTTAAGGCTGAGTGTGTGGAGAAATATTTCAGAGCTGTTCCATAAAAAATACACTGGTCCCAAGGAATCTGGCACATGTGTATGACTCCAATCTTAATTGACTAGGATTGTAAGTTTTTCTACCAAAGGTCAGTGGTTCTCTCTGGGCACTCTGGCTTCCTCCACCAATAAAAACTGACCGCCACGAAAATAGCACCATATTATTGAAAAGGTTGTGTTAAACGCTAATCAATCAATCATCACACCAGATAATGGTGGATGATGTTCTTCAATGAATTTATGACAATATGTAGGCAAATTTCAAAATTCTTTTTCAATCACCTTCAAAAAAATGTTTTTTTTTGTGTGAGACATGCCATCAGGTATGGTAATATTATTACTGGCATCACAACAGGAAAATCAGGGAAAAGTAAGAGAATGTTATGTAATAATTGAAATTTAACAAATGAGCAAAATGTTGATTGTAAAAGTTGGGAGAAAGTTTAAATTGGCTAGAAAATATAGAAATTTCTTTCTTGTATAAAACATGCAGTAACTTCATATTTAATTTTAAATATATGATACATACCTATTCTGTACATCTATCATTCTTTTGGAGTAGGAATATCCAAAGTTAGAGTCATGTGGAGGACCATTGTGTACCTGAAATTAAATAAAAAGTTATATATATCATATAAATGCTGTTTATCACCACAAAAATTGAGAACAAGAAATAATTTTTTACCTCTCAGGGAAACCCAAACAGATACACACAGCAGAAACCAGATCATTTCGTAGATTGTAAAAATCTTGAACACCTGGGCAAAGCCTGTTGCAGTTTCAAAGGAAGGGAACATTAGTATGTAATATTAATTCTGAGTGAGCAATATTACCAACAATGTGTGATTTATATTATAAATTGAAATCCCTTTGTGGGTCCAATAATTAGGAATTAAGATAATTGAATTTGAATTGTGAGTATTCCGTATATTAAAACACAAAGTTGATGCGTGAAAAATGCAATGAGCAGGGATGTATAATTTGTTGCACCAATTTTACATGTGCTGAATCACTCGAGTACATGTACTTTATAGTTGAATGTTTCATCCTGGACATAACATAATGTGCAGTTTTTTCTAGAAGAGGTAACAATATTTAATGTTTCAAATATATATGGTTTTCAATTATCATGTTTATGGACCCTTTGGAAGCATTACATTTTGTATGCAACAGAAAGATTCATACTGATATTGACTCTATAAAATTAAAAATACCATTATCTCCCTTGTTTCATCTATAGGGTTATCTCCCTTTTATCCAAACATGCTGATCACTTACCATCGTTTCATCAATAGAGTTATCTCCCTCTTATCCAAACATGCTGATCACTTACCATTGTTTCGTCTATAGGGTTATCTCCCTTTTATCAAAACATACTGATCACTTACCATTGTTTCATCTATAGGGTTATCTCCCTTTTATCCAAACATGCTGATCACTTACCATTGTTTTATCTATAGGGTTATCTCCCTTTTATCCAAACATGCTGATCATTTACCATTGTTTCGTCTATAGGGTTATCTCCCTTTATCCAAACATGCTGATCGCTTACCATTGTTTCATCTATAGGGTTATCTCCCTTTTATCCAAACATGCTGATCCTTTACCATTGTTTCGTCTATAGGGTTAATCTTCCTTATATCCAAACATGCTGATCACTTACCATTGTTTCATCTATAGGGTTATCTCCCTTTTATCCAAACATATGCTGATCACTTACCATTGTTTCATCTATAGGATAAGTTGTCTTATCAGGAAATATACACGTAGACAGACAGGATACTACTTTCTTAACTCCAGTCGTGTGGCTGATGTTCAGAACGTTATCATTGATTAAGGTATTAATTCTCTGAAAAAAATTACGCACAAATTGAAAATAAATAATGAGATTTCATTCAACAAACCATTAACTAGGGACAGTGAGGATATCATTACAAACAATCATACTTTAGTCTTTTAGTCTTAGATACATGATTTTTTTATTAGTTATTGGCTTTGAACTATCTGTCAGTAACTGTGAGTACTCTCCTTACTTAGTGTCTTTTTTTGTTGTGGGATTTATAGATACCCTGCCATGTCCGGTTTGAGTTTTCTGTTTTGAATTGATTTGATGAGTTAAGCCTTTTTCAACTGGTTTATGTCTTGTCATATTTGTTTTTCGCAATTTATTTTGTTATAAATTTAGGCCGTTAGTTTTCTCTATTGTATTGTTTCATATTTTTCATGTTGGGGCCTTTTATAGCATACTATATAGTATGGATTTTTCTCATTGTTGAAGGGCATACAGTTGCCTATGATTGTTTACATCCACTTCATTTTAACTCTAGTGGACAGTTGTCTCATTGACCATGTTGACAATCATACCACATCTCCTTCTCTTTATAATAGTGCATACAAATTAAATATTGACATTGGTCATGATAATAGTCCAAATTGGATAAACTACTGTAAATTCAGGAATTATTGTGACGTTCTTATTAATGCAAATAATGCGACTGAGTGACTATCGCAATAATAACTTGCATTCTAATATCTGATACATATACCATGTGTACAATATATCTGTAAACTGCTGTATGCAGCTTTTCCTGAAATCCCAATAATAAATCTCGTATTTTTGTTCATTCCGTCTTCAAAAATCGTAATGATCATGATAATGCACGCAATAATTTCAGAATTTACCTTAGTAAATGGCTAGCTGAAATTTAATGGAGAAAATAGAAACTATCATTCACAATTCTTATACAGTGATTTTTGTCATGCCTGTCCAAATAACTTACATAAAAGTCAAGGTTGTATTTAAGATTTCTGAACAATCCTCCAACCATAGCAGCTAAATGTATAACATGAGTTGGCTTGATTCTGTTAAATATGGCTTCAGTGGCTGCCCTATCACTGAAAATTACAAATTCTGTTTATATAGTATAATGACAATGTATCTTGATGACTAAGTTATATATATATAAATTAGTGTCTTAAAATAAAATATATGGGGAATGTGACCATGGGACACAGATGATGCCCCTGCTTGCATATAACGCTATAAAGGGACATACCTCAAGAACCGTAAAAGTGACACTACCCAAAATCGTACTTGATCTAAAATTTGTGGTAATAAGCAATGTGTATAAGTTTCCTAACATTTGGTTGAGGCAAACTTAAGTTAGAGAAAGGAAACGAAAAATTCAGCAATTTTTCCATTTGAGAAGGGGAATAACTCTAGAACGGTAAAAGTGACGCCACCCAAATTCAATCTTGATCTGTGTTTTGTGGTAATAAGCATTGTGTATAAGATTCATAACATTTGGTTGAGGCAAACTTAAGTTAGAGAAAGGAAACGAAAAAATCAGCAGTTTTTCCATTTGCAAAGGGGTATAGCTCTAGAAAGGTAAAAGTGACGCCACCCAAACGGGCGGAAATCCAGTTGAAATTAAACAAAAGAAATGGAACTCTTTGTTAGAGAAGGTAAAAAAGGCGAAGTTAGTAAATTTGAATTGTTTACATCTGTTTCTATGGGCTTTAAAAGTTTAATGAATGTGCCTAATTTAAGATTTTATGCATCTTAAGTGTGTGTTTTTACTTAAATTATTGAATTGAACATCAAGATATTTGTAAACTTTTAAATTATAGACAAATTTTCACAAAACAGGCGATTGTGATAGGTGCAAATTCTCATGGATCTTTTTTGTGCATAAGCATAAATTCCGCCGAAAAAAATTCCAAAGAAAGATAATAGATTTATCTTCTTAAAGCATCAATTTTCAGCTCTGCCCCAGGTGACAGTTTTTTGGGAAAAAATCCCCAAAATAGGCAATAATTTCATTGAAAAAAGAGAAAGTCCTTTTTAGGTTCAGGCGTGTTTGAGTTGACTATTCTGTCTCGAGAACATATAAAAGAAAATTATTTGATACATCATCTCGCTTCAGATTCTATTATTTTTATATATTTAGTCTGTAGGTTGATACAAAAACAATAAAAATTTACAGTACTAAAATATGAAATATATGGGTCGAGTGAAATACCTTTCTAATGAGTCATAACAACAGAATAGGCGTGTTCAAATAACAATTGTTTTACTAAAAGTACTTGACAACAAACTTTTCTGGTGGATCTTAAAAATGCATAACTTCAAAAAAACTTCATTTTTTGTGTGTGTTATCAAGGGTAATTAGTCTTCAACCTCTGAAAATTTTTAGTCTGCCCTTCCACGAAATATTTAATTAGAATTTTTTTTAAATATTTTTAAACTTTCGAAAATTCCCCCTGACAACCGATCAGACAATAGTTTAAAGTTGACCAAATGCATAAAAAAATACATTAAATGATACTCAATAGCTAGTAGATACAATTGTCTTTTAAAATACAACTGGCATACAAGGATCGTAATGATACTGTGTGGATAAATTTATCGGTTTTCAAGAGCTAAATTGACAGCGCGTCATCACTACAACGGCTTCCATTTTTACAACTATAAAAGTTAGGTGGCGTAATGGGGAGATAATTTTGACGAAGTAGAATCCTGACTGCAAATTCAAACTTGATCTGTGTTTTGTGGTAATAAGCATTGTGTATAAGTTTCATAACATTTGGTTGAGGCAATCTAAAGTTAGAGAACGGAAACCAATTTAGGGACGTACGAACGGACAAGGGTAAAACTTAATGCCCCCTCTGCTACGGCAGGGGCATAAAAATTCAACACTTTTCTTGCATTAAAACTCATGTGTCTGGACTGTCATGACTGTTTTCGGTGGCAGTCTCATCTATTGTTTTTTTCTTCCTAAAATCTCACCAAAATGCTCTCCTAAAGTACGTGGTCAGACACATAATCATTTATGTCTCATTCCAACATGTCAGATATGGAAACTCCGACAATTTTATGGCAGGTATTCTATATACAATCTACAGATCCAGGTGTGAACAGTGATAAAGTTGTGCTGCATGACCTTAGCGCTTCACTGATTTCAGTTTACATTAACTATAACTTAAATGGTTTTCAGGTTCAGATCGATGTAGACAGAAAAGAAATAATAATAAGAGAATATAGATATTATTACAATAAAATCATGTATTTAATTTGTTGATTTATTTTTTTCTACTGTTCTTTTGTTTTCATTGGTTACTGATCTTTCTGGTTTGCTAAAAATAGCCTTTATAACTTACATGACTTTTAATTCCAATTAAATGCATAAAAAACTATGTTTAGATAAATATTGCATTAACAGCTGAAATACAGAACTATTTAACCTGTATTGGAATACACCACAAACTTTCTGGTTGCCATGACACCCACCATTGAAATAAGACCTAACATACAACATTGGAATTATACATGTAGTCTAATTTAGTGGACTCTCGTCAAATAAACTCACGACAAATCTCCGTCTTTAGAGGAAAGGAAATGCCATTCCTCATTAGGGTTTTTCTCTTCACCAGTGGCTATAAACTCAATGGCTTTTCCAACCAAACCTGTACCACCAGTCACCATGATAACTTTCTTTTCTGCCATTTTCAATGTTCTGGAACAGAAAAATAATGAAACAGTTATTGATTAAGACATTTTTACCTGATTAAATTATTATTTGGAACCAAAAGAAGTATTATACGTCTAACATGTCTAATGAACACTATTTTCAGTCATTGGCAGTGTTTAAAATAAATTTTTTTATAAAGGATTTTTACCATACACATTTATCACACAATCCACAGTAATAATTAAATGGAAAAAAATATAGTTAATGAACCATGTTATTTTTGTTTTTGAAAACTGTAAATTTTGAAACACATTTTATGCTCTTTCTATTCTGGCTTAGAAATTTTTTTTGTAATTTGGTTTCATTAACATCATGGTTTGATAAGCAGACAGAGGAATTTCTTGAATAAGTGATTAAGTAAAGATTAGTTCAGAATTATTACAAACAGGAGTTATCTACTTAAGTTTGAGTTTTGAATTCACGCAAATGAGTACATGGAGTACATTTAATGCACTAAAAGAAGTGATTTTATATTATGTTATTTTTCTACAAGACTCAATCTATAAATGTGCTGTTATAAAGAAAAAAACAGAGATAACCATTTTCAACTTATTTCTATAGTTTGTTCTTATGTTGTGCTGTAACACCACTGTCCTGACTGTCCCAGGTTAGGGGATGGTTGAGCACTCACAAACATGTTTAACCCAGCCACATTCTGTATGTGCCTGTCCCAAGTCAGGAGCCAGTAGTTCAGTGGTTGTCGTTGGTTCCTGTCTGTCATGTTTGTTTTTCATAAATTGTTTGGTTATAAATTAGGCCGTTTGTTTTTGTCAATTGAATTGTATCACATTTTTCATTTTGGGCCCTTCTATCAATGTCTATATATAGCCAACTATACCGTATGGGTTTTTCTCATTGTTGAAAGCCGTATGGTTGCCTTTAATTGCAAATATCCACTAGTGGATTATAAGTTGTCTCATTGGCAATTATACCTCACCTCCTTGTTTTTATATAAATCAATTCTTACACATGATAATTTCATTAATTGAAATGCCGTAAATAAATAAACCAGAGCACACTAGTTATATCCTGGCCATTGTGAAAATCCCCCTACTTATGTACTGAAATTTCCAATGTTCGGAGTCAGGAATTAGCCCAGTTACTTCTACACTGTAGCTTTCGGTATTAACCACTGAGCCACTAAAAAAGGCGGAGGCAAAATGTGAACAACTACCTTAGCTGCAGAACTGCAGCTTTTATGGTCTTTGTCAAAAATATCATAAGTGCTACTGTTCTGCAGCTACAACTACCTGTAACAGAAAATTGTTTTTGTACAGTACTGTACAGGCCCACTCCCCTTTACTTCCGTAATTGTCACTTCAGTGAATATTTAGTCTGCAATTTTATTTATAGGAACTGTACTTACATGTATCATCACTGCATGTCAAATTTTAAAGAAAAATCCTTTATTTCGAAAATATCTAGTGATATATATAATACAGTTCCTAAAGCTAACGATAATCATATAAATGCTAACAAAAGGACTTGAATTTTTTTTTTTTTTTCGATTGTCTGGAATCCCTGTATAAGTGGTCTATTAATAGATCACCTTTTCCTTTCATAAATATGTGATAAACTGGCCCTCCATACATATTTACTGCACATGGGCAGATTAACCGGACAAACACATTTCCGATAAAAACACAGATGACCCACTTGTTTTGTTGATTTTAAAATTTATTTCAGACATTTTTTGGGAAATGAGATCTACTACTTAAAATTGATTTGTCAGTGAATCGATTTATGTTAAATTTGATACAATTTGTATATAATTAAGCAGAAATACATACGATCAAAGCCTTACTTGGGCGGATTTACCGGACTTCATCGCATGTTTATATGCAGATTTTACCTGAACTAAAGACTTGCTTAGCCAAAAATCAGTGATTCTTCTTTTTGTTCCTGTTAAGCGGCCACATTCAACTGTCTGATTATTGCCCTACTGTTTTGTTCATGTAGTCAAATATAATAAATGAAATATATACAGATCTGTGATAGTTAAAATCCTATATACATGGATTACCACGTTATGCTTATGTATTAAAACTATTATCTATACAACTATGAGTATGAAGTTTATATTTTAACAGGATGCTTTACAATAAATCTCAAGTCGCCGACTTATCCCTCAATCAGATTACAATAAAGCTCCTGTGTCCAAGGGTCGTAAGCAAAGCTGGGACACAGGATCTGTATTTAATCAGATTGCTTATCCTTCAACCGGATAAATTATATTTACCATGTAAATTTGACAAGTTACGGTCTCTTTCTGATTATTTTTTTATTTCATACAGACGAAAAAGAAAGAGTAAAGTTCGTTATTACTACCTTTTATGTATTTGTATTCGGTATATTTACCTGGGTGATAGGGACGCCACGTGAAAATACAGTAGGAAGTGAAGAAACAGGTTTTGTCAGGCAGGTGCTTCCGGTTTAAGGTTTTTTCGGTCTCACTCATTAGCGACAAGAAGCGACAAGAAGCGTCAAGAAGCGACAAGAAGAATAAATTTAGCGACAAGAAGCGACAAGAAGACTATTTAGCGACAAGAAAACTTAATAAAAATATTATTAAAATAAATATATTAAAAAAATATGCATTGACATTTTTATTTTAATATACGGAAAGTAAAGTGATTTTCATTATTTTTTTTTAAATATATTAATATAATTTAATTTTGGATGTAACGCGTCTTCTGATTGGCTGACGTTGTTTTGTTTATCAGCTCATAGACATAATTTTGTCATGTGACCGTGACGTCATCAACGTTTTTTCATGGTTTACTCCGGTTTAAAATGGAATTTAGAATTAAATTATAAGAAATGACTGTAATATTGTTTCTGTCTATTCGAAATAACATAAAAAATGTGGTGCACACTTTAAAATAACCCGTTACACGGGTTATTCAGTGTGCACCACATTTTTGATGTTATTTCTTCATAGACAGAACAAATATTACAGTCATTCCTTAAATAGACATTTCCCTGTCATAGTATGACATTAATTTTTACATGTTCTTGTGTTTTAGAACAATAATATATTTATTTTATAATTTTTTTAACACTCTCTTTGTCTAAAATATAATAAACTGACCTGCATGCAAAATGCATTATACGTGAATCAGTGTCCAGAAAAGATAATGTTACTAAAACGTGAATATTTTATTTGGGTATTGACTTATCAAACGATATGTATGTTTATGCATAGTTTAAAGTTGATTGAAGATAAAAGGTAATTAAAGACAATGTTGAGTGTTCAACACAGTCAGAAAGCTGACCCCGGTTTGACCCCATTTCTTAAAGCAACAATGGAAGTCATGTGATTACCATATATGGGCATTTTTTTACCAAAAATTGTAGTTTTTTGCATGAACTAAAACTAATTTGCTTTTAAGTGAACATTCTTGAGTATATAAGAAATATATTGATCCACTCAATTATGGATTAAACTAATTTTTTCTCTCAAAATGTGTCTTCAAAGTCTAGGTATTGACCAAAAAAATCGGTCACTGGAAATTAAAATCGTAATTTTCTTTCTTAACTTCTCGGGAAGCTATGCTGAATTTAAATTATGTTATGTAACATATATTTGACTATGATATGTCAAATTTGTGCCACTTAATACGCTGTAATACGCAAATGTGCCACTTCGATGTGTCGATATTTCTGAGGAAGCGGGGCCGATAGTAATTTACGAGTTACGTCCCTTTGTTTGACACTCTCATGATCAAACTATTATTATATTAAGCACCATATGCTGTTATTTACATGAGGATATTATTAAAATAATTTTATTTAATATATTTTGATACTAAAGACATGTGCAAAAAAATTAGCGAAACACATTTTATCACTTTTCAGAACTCAGTCTCAGTGAAATACTCAAATAGGCCCTATGTCAGTATGTGCCATAAATTGGCATAATATTATTATTCCAAGAGTTAATTTAATATTTATATTTTGGTAAGTATTTATACTGCTGTAACCAAATTATTTCAACACAGAAATAAATTTCTACTTTAATCATACAAGGAGTAGCCAAAATATTCATGAATAATGGATCAAGACATGATTAAAATGATCAAATACAGGAACTCCTTTTCATTACTGATACCTGATCCTACCTTTTTCATTTAAACTTAAACGAGACCATAATGAAAGTATTCTGAATGTAAATTCTTCATTATTTGAAATAAAAGGAAATAAGTTTGCAATTCTTGTATGAACAAACTAAATATAACAATAAATTTTGTCTCACTGATTCCATGCAGATTCTATTATGAATGGACTCAAATTATAAAAAAAACAACCACTAAACCAATAAATAAATGGTTCTAATCATGAACTTGAAAATAGATAAGAACAAAAAAGACTGGGTCTAATATTTTTCTTCTTCTATTTAATTTTTTTTAACTTTATATATAAAAGTATCTCAGAGCAGATTTTGAGTGCTAAGTCAACAATATTATGTTTTAGATCACAAGTCATAAGTAAGTCACACTTCATGTCAGTATGAACAAAAAATGCTTTGAATAAGAGTGATTAAAATGCTAGTCTGAAAGAGATTGTTTTAAGTTCATATTTAGGACAAGACTTTTTCATTTACCTTTGGCAGTTTTGCAGGATTACTTCATCACAAATGTTTTTATAATATTATAAACGATGAATGAGTTTTGGTTAAGGTTGTGTAAAGACAGTATACGATTTCCTTACCTTGTTTAAGTTAAGTCAAACAATTCACTGACTTAAAGAGAATAATTAATCCAGTCAAATATTCACAGCTGAACTCGCCATTGCTTTTTCAAACAAACACACTAAATGTGTGTACATTGTGTAAAGATGCAAGTTGACATCGATGTGTAAGATAAAAAACTACAATGTAAAAAAATGTCTTTCGTTTGGAATTTAGTTCGAACGGGGTTTCCTAAGGGGTGATAGAACGTTAGACTTGATTTTTGTTTTAACTTTGAGATACTTATTATTAATTTTTTATATAGTTTGTATAGTCTTTGTTTATCTGGAAAAAAAAGAAGAAAAAAATAACAGACAATTTCGCATAATTCTTAAACGACGATCAAAGGCATTACGTTATTTTTAAAAGACGGACAATTTATAACATGTTTAAGTATTATTTTCTTTGATAATAAGAACCATGCTTGAAAAATCGAAAGAAATCTATTTCTGACCATAATGGCAAGTAAGAAACAGAAAAAAGAAAAAATTCCAAATTGGCGCCAAATTATTTTTTCCGCGAAATTAACGCAATTTCAGAATGGCGGGTTTTAATATCAGTCCCATTGTTGTCTTAAGAAAGTAGCAACAACGGTCGTTTCTAAGGGCTTGCTTTCCGACTGAACAGTTGCTCACTATTTACAATTATTGCCGTATATTCTGGCGCGTGTAGTTGTATAGTCTGACGCGTGTACAAAGTTATAGGTGTTAATTGAATGTTATTGTAGCAATACAATAAGGGACACACGTCCTTTACTCCAACCATGATTCTAATTTGTTCATCCTTAAGCGTCATTATGCTTCTATGAAAAGAAGTAATTCTTACAAGAAAATAATCAGCTGGTTCGAAAAAAATGCCTTGCCATTCTCTTGAAACCATGAATAAAGCAATAGCAGAATACATAGGTACCTATCCTATTAAACAAACAAAATATTGCTGATGATATATGCAAGCTGTCATCAATATTTATAATTCTTTGAAAGAAATTGTTCAGATCACAGGCAAACCTCCAAATGTTATCTTGAATCATTAATTTCTTCATCTAGCCAATATAATAAAAAAAAAATGAAAATCTCTTTATTGCTGTCAATGCATATTTTTTTTAATATATTTATTCTAATAATATTTTTTTTGAGTTTTCTTGTCGCTAAATAGTCTTCTTGTCGCTTCTTGACGCTTCTTGACGCTTTTTGTCGCTTCTTGTCGCTAATTAGTGAGACCCAGGTTTTTTCCTTTACAATTTACGGCTTCCACTAAAGACCTAAACTTGGATCGACCTGAAAAGACCCGAATAGACCTGAAACAATTAGATTTATTTAAATTACAATAACTTTTTTACTTTCTCAAATAAAACGAAAGTTGAGGCTTTCTTTTATTACTAAGATAGACAAACCAAGCACTGTCTGACTGAATGACAATTTATAGAATACACTGAGACAGAATACATTTTGAATCAGCGACCGGTGTCTTTTATTAAGTCCTCTTAACAGTCGAACTGTGCAGATTTTTGGCAAAATTGCTCAGATTGTGGTAAAAGCATGAAATTTGGCATAGTAATAGTATATGTCATGGACAACATTTTCAGCTATGGACCCACTATGAAAGTCGAAATTGGCGGGAGAGGCGGCCATTTTAAAAATGGCTGACGTTTGATTTCTATAAATTCAAAAAAATTAAAGAAAATGATATTAGGGAAGATATTGACATGATACCTGGTAAATAGAATGACAGTGCTTATACCAATTATCTTGTTGAAATTTTTTTTTAAATGTAAGCCATCTTGAAAAATCTTGAAATTTTCAAGCCAAAATAGGTAAAGCTCCAAAGTCATTATTCGATAAAAATAAATATACAATATATGTACATTGTCAAACATATAAAAATGAATTTGTACATGTTGTATGAATTTTAGAAACACGACGAAAAGCGAGGCCCGCCGAGTTTTTCTCCTGTTTTGTAGCGAGTACAAATGAATTTTATATTTTCCGACAATGTACATATATTGTTTTTATCCTGAAATTTACACCTAACACTAGCAACTTTAGTTATCAAAACCTGAATCATTGTCTCTAATGTTCCAAAGTAATCGACATAGTTTAAACGCAGAAATGGGACAAATCTTGTCGAGACAAATTTTCAGATCTCAAAATATTTCATCATTAAAAGCGAAAACATTCTTTTGAATTAACAGTAAGTAACCAGACACTGTAAAGTGGTACTAGTACTGGATCAACAAGAACAATAACTGCAGTGTATTTTTCTGTGGTGATGTATCTGAAGATTTCCATGATGCATTGTCATTTTTAATCGGCAAAAATATTGCATGACTGTGCACCTGTACTACAAGACAATATTCTCTTAGTCAAACTATTAGTGCTGGAGATGTAATATCACAAGTATCATGCTTAATGATTGATAAAACTTGACAACATAGCTAATAGTCAGAATAAATAAAAAACACACAGAATGAAGGCTAGGAATCTTTTAACCTAGGAATTGTGCTTTCCGAAATGATAGAATAGATCGACGGCAAACAGTCTGGAACAGATATTGGGCTTATTTCCAAGCTTGCAGATCACGCTTAATTGTACATTAACGCCTTGAACTACTTGGAGTTGTCATGGAAGGAAGTACTGTTCCAACGCGTCAAAAAAATTGGAATGAAGCTGCCTTAGGAGATCTGCAAGCATACAAGCAAGGTAG